ATACTATTCCGAAACCCTGGTGGGGTTTCTATGGTTACTAATAAGCAGGGTAACCGGGGTTGACCCTTTGGCGGGGTTTGAAAATTTGTTACCGGGGTCGGTAGCTCGCTTACCTGGGTTGTGCAGAGGTTTGACAAATTACCTAATTGGACATCAAGACATGGTGAATAATATTCAAAATTCCAAAATTAATTTACTGTACAAAGTGTATATCTACCACTCAACCCAATTATCATTGAAGTGATCAACTATTTATGATGTTATACCGTCTATACACCTACCTTGATGAACTACTTAATTTGCCTTTATGGGCTGACTTTATCCTATGTCGAACAATTCATCAATCCAATCCTGAACAGAAGTCATTGCTTTTTGTGCATGATCTCTCCCCCTCCGTTCTCGACATCCCTTGTTACTAGAAATGTGATTTGTGTTAGATGATTGAAATGATGTATATATTATAATTTTCAGCCTAATTGTTATTCTAAAGTAATCAGTGTTGATGGTAGAAAACATATTGTTATTTTTGCTATGAGACCGTAAGTATCAAGTTTATTATATTTGTTTAAGGGGATGATAATGTTGAGTTCTATATTTGTTTAAGGGGATGATAATGTTGAGTTCTATATTTGTTTAAGGGGATGATAATGTGGAGTTCTATATTTGTTTAAGGGGATGATAATGTTGAGTTCTATATTTGTTTAAGGGGATGATAATGTGGAGTTCTATATTTGTTTATGGGGATGATAATGTTGAGTTCTATATTTGTTTAAGGGGATGATAATGTTGAGTTCTATATTTGTTTAAGGGGATGATAATGTTGAGTTCTATATTTGTTTAAGGGGATGATAATGTTGAGTTCTATATTTGTTTAAGGGGATGATAATGTTGAGTTCTATATTTGTTTTAGGGGATGATAATGTGGAGTTCTAAATTTGTTTTAGGGGGTGATAATGGACCTGCTTGATTTGTCTGCCGACAAATTGTCGAAGCAAATCAAGTGACCCGGCTGATAAACAATATGGCGTTGGCTAAAGTTATAATATTAAACTGGTTACATGACATGTTTTAATCAAAAACAGTATTCTTGAAAGTATGACTTGAAAGTGCCCGCACAATAAGCAGAAAATTATTAATAGTAATATTACTGAGAAAAAATAAATGACATATGAACTTTTGGTTTTACGAAGCTCAAATTCAACTTCAAAACATTTGGTTTAATTTTAACGCTTTAAAATTAGTGTTTTATGGCATTCCAAAATAACGTGAATTTTATCTTGTTGACATGTTCACCATCTTGCGCCGGTGTTCGCCGCTGCCGCCAAAGCGGCGCATTCGGCGTACGCTGCAGCCGAACTTTTGTCGACTTCCGGTGAAATCAAGTGACCTCGCACAAAAACTGCCGAACTGCGGTCAGCCGGTATGCGCCGATATTGACAAATCAAGCAGGGCCATTGTGGAGGAATGAGTTAGACAATATTTCTGGGAGTTGAACAGCAACCTTTTTATCAAGGCACATTGATATGGTGTCCCAACATATCAATAATTAAAACAAGCCTTACCTTAATTTCTCATATTTATCCTCACTAAATAAACTATCATGTTTTATCTTTTTAAATTACAAAAAATAAATACTTCCCTTGTACTAACAATCAGCTTCCGAACCCATCATTTCTCACTGCCCTTGATTTACATGTAAATTATTGTATATTTTTATATCTAACAATATTTAGTAATTTTATTCTGTATGATAATATCAGTCTAAGAGATTCTATACAGAATAATCCTCCCACTGCAAGTGAATTATTGAAATAAAATTGAATCATGTGACCTGGTTTGTGTTGAGTGGAGGTTAAACCTCATTTCTCTCTCTCTCTCTCTCTAGCGAATTATTGAAATAAAATTGAAATATATGTTAGTTCCGATATGACCTGGTTTGTGTCGAGTTGACGTTTAACCCCATCTCTCTCTCTCTCTCTCTATATATATATATATAGATAAAGATTATTATTATATTTTATTATTTTCAGGATAAAGATTATTATTATATTTTATTATTTTCAGGATAAAGATTATTATTATATTTTTATTATTTTCAGGATAAAGAAAGGTGAAGAGTTAACATATGATTATAAATTTCCCATTGAAGATGTCAAGATTACCTGTTCCTGTTCATCTAAGAGATGTCGTAAATATTTAAATTAATTTCTAATTGTTTTATATTATTATAAAAACTATGTTAAACTTTTGTGATATTGAATTGTTGAAGAATAATATCTCATTATTTATTTCATGTATATAAAATATCCCCAGATTCTATAAAACATAAAATATACCCAGAATCTATAACACCTGCCCAGTTTATTAAATAAGTAACTTCGTGAGATTTGTATTTGTACACACACCAACTTTCACTGGTAATAATTGAAATATTAAGATGTAAAAACAGATTGCTGAATTAATGTATAAAGATCGTGCCTTTTACGAAGATTACCGGGTACTTGGTTTAATGGAATTTTCTCAATTTTATGATGACACTAAATCTGAGATTGTCTCCTCCAATCACAACAGTTGTTTGGTGTGTTGGATTCCATCATGATTCTGCTTGTTTCGCTACTAATAACAATTGCAACAGAACTCGATTATTTGTAACTACATTATATTTCTGTCAATTGAGAACGTATTGTACAGTTGGTAAGTTATTGATATAAAAACTCTATCAAATATTGAAATAAGATGATGATTCTATTAGATAAATAGATGTTGACTATAAATGTATATAACTGTATATTTTTTTGTAAATATTGTTTTCATGTTAAGTGTTTTTACACATTATATACATTTATAAGTGCTTTCATTGGTTATTATGTATCATTTTTGTTTTAATTTCTCAATATTTAACAGTATTTTGTTATTAAAGAATTTTGCTGTATAGACCGGTATTAATTAAAGGAACTAAACTTCATTGATTTAGATCAAAATAAAGGAATAGAATTAGCGTTGTTCTCATGTGTTACGTTGATTAGTCATCGAGAAAGCTTTATATGGTTTTAATTTTTCGTTTCGAAACATTAACCAGTAGTCGACTTATTTTCTAATTTTAGTTAAAATTTTTAGCTTACTCATCAAAAGTGGATCACAAATCGTTTATTTTACCAAGAAACAAATCTACATAAAATCCAGTGAAATTGATTGTTATTTTTGATCGAAATCAAGAACCGTTTAGTTTGTTTAAGCTATGAAAATGTCTCATATTTAGAATGCCTACTCCATATTCCCTGTAATATTTCATATTTTGATATTTATTACTGTATATATTCATATTGGGGTTATATTTCAACAATAACATGTGTATTATATTTATATATGATTTTATATACTAGACTATTGTTTAAAGGGACAATAACACTCTTGCTGGCTTGACGGCTCCAGAAAATAAATAATAGCCTTATTCTGAGTACTAGATTTTTAAGTGTCCTACCTGTTGTGTAAATTATCCATTAAATCCTATTTTACTTGTCCAGAGGGTTCGAAAATATTTTTAAATCCAAGTCACATTTGAAAAGCTTTACGTCAGGCTTTTCAAATCATTTAGTTGAATTTTTCCAATTTTTTAAATTAGGTGTGTTAAGATGAAATTTGTATTATCAATTAATTTGAATATTGTAAAATAGTACAATTTGTTGACCAGAATAAAGATTGGGACATATTATTCAGTTACAACAAGAGTGGTATTGAGCCTTTAAGCCTATCATCCTATCATATCCCTGATATTAGGTTAGGTATTTTAAAACAAATTTATAGTCAACATTAATCGTGGCTAAGCCAAAAGGGATATCAAAATATAAAATTTTCATAAAATACCAGTAGGTAATCTATGTTTCAAGGTTGATCAGTTTTGTTGTATACTGAAGTCCAAAAGAAAGTATACACACTAAAAATATGACTAAGTTTTGTTAAATCAAAAAAATGTGATAAAACTACACTGAACACGTCTTGTGCGTCCAAACTCAATATTTCTAAGCAAATAAACGGCAAAACAAATGGACATTGTACCCAAATACCGCATACTATGGAAAAACGACTTTGTTTGAAACAGGACGAAATGAACAGTGTATACTTTCTTTTGGACTTCAGTATAGATTTGGTTTCTGGATTCACAAAATTCTTGAAATGATATTTTGATTGGAAACAAATATTCATGAGGAAATTAAATGTAAATAAATCTTGTATTTGGGGATGGACACACACACATGTTCGAAGCAAAAAATACCAAATCACGGCTAACATTCAGATCTTGTTACCTTCTGCCTCTTTTTAATATTTTTACGTTTTATATTTAGTCAATTCTAGCGTCTGTAGATTTGTTGTGAGAGGCGTTAACTTATTTTTTCTATAAAATTTGCATAGATTTTCTATTGAATTTATCAGTCCAAACAAAATACATTTTGATAGGCCCAATATTGATATGGAGTTATAGTGACCACTCTATACAGTTCACAGCTTATAGTTGATTTATTCAGATTTGAAGAGATTGTTCAGAAATCTTGTGATACGGTCAAAGTACTTAATAGAAATTTTTAAAATTCAGTTCATATATTTGGTGCGAATCACTGCCATTGGTTTTACAGCTGTCTTACACTCTCCCTAATGGTGCAGGGGTTATAAATGGACCTGTTGGTCACTCCCTGATGCTGCAGGGGTTATAAATGGACCTGTTGGTCACTCTCCCTAATGGTGCAGGGGTTATAAATGGACCTGTTGGACACTCTCCCTGATGCTGCAGGGGTTATAAATGGACTTGTTGGACACTCTCCCTAATGGTGCAGGGGTTATAAAGGGATCTGTGTTTTATTGGCTTCAATCATTGTTTTAAAGGGTTTGTGTAAATATATTTCTCTAGTATGCAATAAAACTGATATGACAAGAGAAATTGAATCCTCATTTAAATAATATATAAAGATTAACAATCAGTAGGGCAATAATATTAACCATGTAAATATTGATACTAACATTGTTTAATATATTAAATGTATGCGATACATGTACAGTATATTGTAAAACTAAACCTTGTTTTTTTTTTATTGGCAAAGAAATCTGATAGAAAATGCCAGTATATCTACATTATATTTACCTGCCTTTCAAAGTATTGATTTGAATTTAATTACCTATTTGTGAATTATCATGTATTGTATTTAATTATATATTATAAACAACCTTTGGACATTTCAACAAGCTAAATTGTTAATAAAGATTTTATAATATTTAATAATGATCTTTTTTTTCCTGATCAATAATGTTGGGAACAGGAAGATATTTGTACGGTCTTGACTGTCAGCCAGCAGCCCCTATTCAGATCAGATCAATAGAATGAATATTTTATGTATCCGAGCCAAGAACTGAATAATACATAAGTTTATTATTCAATTATTGGCACTGATAATTTATTTTACTAATTTAGTTTGTTTTTTTATACATGTATAGATCAGTAGTATGGTATTATGCCTTATATACACCAACAGAATATACCTGACTGATATCTAGATTTCTATAGCTCTAGGCAGAACATTTAAGTGGTGTGAACCATTTTTATACGCCCACATCAAGGCCCCTGTCTCCTTTAGCCCAGTCTGACGTTAAAACCTATTTCATTTAATTACAGACTCAACACTATTCTTTTTATTTCAAGGAGTAAGGTCACCTGTCCAACCTTGTGGGTTTTCTCCGAGTCCTCCAGTTTCCTCTCACTGCTAAAGACCCCTACGCGCAAGCGAAGTATTGAAATAAAATTGAACCATATGTTAGTCCCGAAATGACCTAGTTTGTGTGGAGTGGACGTTAAACCCCATTTCTCTCTCTCACTAGTCTTTTTAACCATCATTAGTTCAACAGATTTGTGAATGTTATGTCAAACTCCCTCTATAGTTGACACAGATTACAATATATAACCATGTTAATATATAAAATAAAAGTCAACTTCATTTAGTGTAAAATATATCTTCTTTATAGCAAACTACTGTATTCTATTTATGTATCAAAAAATTCTCCATATACAGAAATTATAGTTGAACTCAATAAAAATACAGTATTAACTATGAACACATACAGTTCATATTCTTGAACAAAACGAGGTAAAACAAAATGAAGAATGAATGATTGAAGATGAAATGGAAGAATACAAAATACAGGGAAATCTAATGACATATTGCTTTAGTATGGAAGATAGCCTAAGAACAGAAAGAAAGACATCTTAATTATTTTCCATATTAATTTGATAGCTGGATACATGTCAGTCTTGACAAAAACTATAGGGTAAATTAAAGCTAATCATTTTCATACGGCATACAACAGCCAGGACAAGAAATCGAACGACTGCAATATTTAATATGCAATACACCAAGATGAATGCATAACAAACAATTAACATAACTATTTCCGATTGTATTATCAATTTACATTATCTTTGATATGCCAACTATTTTGTATATATGTAAACTTTATACTGGTATTTTGTTTGAAAATTCAAAATAATATCATTGAATTATATTAATATCATTTAAACAAATATCTATACCGCTGTTGGCCTAAAACTTAATACATTTTACTATTATTGATTGGTTCCAGGGGTGAACTGAAGAGGATATTATTGGATATTAGGAACCCATGTTTTCACAGTAAGACAACATGACTATTAATTGAAATGGATCAGTAATTCGGGTTTCTAATTTCAAAGACTTACATCCTTCAAACTGTTATTTTTAATAACCCTAATGAGGACTGGAGAGTACAGTAGTTGGTACTGGTAACCTAATAAGCTTCTGTTTCCATGACAATTTACAGCTTAATAATAATATTGCTTTTATACTGACTTTATGACAAGGTAAATAAGACTAATATAGACTTAATAATTCTATCTTTTTTTATACAAATCTCTCTTTATATATATACAATGTATAAAATCTAGACTTTATTTAATATACAATTTAATATCATAATTTGTATTTGATAGCACTAATTGACATTATGGTATCACATTATTTATTGTATATAGGTACTACTAGTATCAAATCTATGTACAATCAATTTCTACATGATCCATTGCTCTTACCATCACTAAAACTCTACATTCTTGTTTTATAAGATTCTAAACATGATATTTAATTTATAATACTATAAACCAAGAAACTAATATAATCTACAGATACCACAAGTTTCTATAAGATATCCATAAATCACTAGTGTCCTCAACAAACTTGAAAAAAAACCCCACCCAAATATGGCTTACAGATACCACAAGTTTTTATAAGATATCCATAAATCACTTAACTTGAAATAAAAACCTTAATCAATGTACTTAGTTCTAATGTATGTATCAATATTAGATAATTAGTAATACTCATAGATTTAACAATAAATTACAACTTTAAGCATTGCATATGACCCTAACTATTGCATAAACTTTTCCTATTGTAATTTAAAGTCCTATTGAAACTTTGTATTCAGTTAACCATCACTGGAGTATTTCAGACAGTTCCAGTTATTGTAGTGCTAACTGCTATGCATCACTGGAGTATTTCAGACAGTTCCAGTTATTGTAGTGCTAACTGCTATGTCACTTTATAAGATGAAGTATTCAGTTTCTCAAATTTCTACCTTCAATGAATTAGCACTTTTAATATGAAAATCTGTTAAAATTTCTTAAACGAAATGTTTCACTGTCTCTAACTACCCTCCATTTCTTGTTCGTCACGTTCCTGAGATAATGACAACGATGGATTAGAAGAAGAATTAGGATTTACTGCTGCGTTAATAATGGCCGACGCAGAAGCCATGCTGGGTGAATTAACGGAAGTAGTTGTACCATGGATAGTAGAGAGTAAAACGTTTGATGGATGTGACATATTAACAGAAGTGTTTGCAAATTGTGGTTGATTTGTTGCCGTTGATGTGTTAGAAACAGTTACTTGAGGCATAATAAATGGTGATGGCGGATTAATACGTTTCTCTTTCTGCCTTCGATTGCAGAACCACACGCGCACTACTTCTTTTTCCATATTTAAATTGTCTGCTAACTGGGTGATTTCTTCTGAAGATGGTTTTGGATTTATGAGAAAACCCTTTTCAAGTGCAACACGTATTGTGGTGTCTATACTTGTTCGTTTTTTACGTCTGCGCGCAATCGCGTCTGCTGATAAACCCGATCCACCAGTAATCACAGTCGGATTTGAAGCCAGTGCGTCTGCATCTTCCAGCCATTTATGTAATAACGGTTTGAGTTTACACATGTTTTTAAAACTGAGATTTAGAGCTTCAAATCTTGATATGGTGGTTTGACTGAAGTCGTTTCCATATAATTTACCCATAGCCAGACCAACATCACCTTGTGTAAAACCTGCAAACATACAAATATATCATTAGTCTTACATAGCTTAGTGAACTATGGAAACAACACTCGACTCATGACAAGAATGACTTGAATAGGGATATGGGTCATTTGAAACTCCTGTCTCATTTGTCAGGTGTCATGTCTGAGGGCATCCTCGGTATCCCCACTGGTTTCATTCCGTTCTACTCCACTATACCTTGGGTTAATCTATGGGGGAGACACGTTTTCAATTTATCTTCTCTGGCCCTTCTCTGATCTTGATCGAAGCATTCAAAAAACAGTTTACAAACAGTCTTACTAAAGGCTTTTTTATCGACTTGCCAAATCGATTTGAATTTAGTGGAGATGTCATGTGACAGTATAGTTGATTTCAAAGTACTTTGGCGAGTTCGTTAAATGCTCCGATTAGCTGTGAACAATTGTTGTGGCTGGACACAGTTGAAAAAAACACGTGATCACCCGATCAAATCGCACCCTGAAGTGATTTGTCGATTTGATGTAATCGCTTCGGAAATCGGTGTCGATAAATTCGTTGATTAGGGTAACCAATTTGAATTAGATGGACATTAAAGATGAAAATTTGATTGAATGCAAATCACTTTGGCTAATCAGTGGTCAATAAAAACGCCTTAGGACTCTAGCCTCTTTGTTTATGTTCCCAACAATATGGCCGCTTGTTGCAACACAATGAGAGTTACTTCCCTTTGCAATTAACGATTTATGGGATTGGTCGATAATAATAGCACAATCATCAAGGGCAGATAACTTGAATATGTGTCCCCCGGCATGGATTAATAAATCAATCCGATTTTAAGGCATGTATAATAAGAGGATGTTATTGACCCCTTCCTTTACATCTAACTGTAAAGAGACAGAGGCTTGATGTTAGTAAATATTTTATGGTTTAATAAATTATATGTGAATATTATAACTATAGACATAAAGATATGTGTATGACCATACCTAGTTCTATTCTTCTTCTTTTAAATGTTTTAGCAAATAATTCCAACTCCTCTAAATCAATATTCTCTTCCTATAAACAGAAATAAAATATAAATAAATTATCACATCACAACAACAAACCTAGCTGCAAGTAGAAAATAGTATTACACAATATCATTAGACTCGGGACTGTACAACACAGTGGACACTTACGACTGGTCCACAGATCCATTCACTTGATTTGATATTTGTTTATTTCTTGCAATGCCTATATTTGTCCGCAGGTCTATCTTGTAGATTTTGTTTTGTGTGTAGTGTGGTTGTCCTACACTAACTATAAGACAGGTGTATTACTGTATCACAGAGCATTACAAAAGTCTTCTAATATCTCTGTAAAAGATGACTACCTTCAACATCTCATCACGCGATGTCAATCACCGGCTCAATGGCGCGTGCATTGTTTACATAAGACGTTACTGATTCAGGCAGAATGCTGTCTTTTACTCATTTTAATACCCATAGGAAATAATTTCTACCTACAAATACGTCAAATGTCTTTATTTATTTTTCTAATACATAAAAAAAAATGTTTTGGAATTTAATTTGATGGAGGAAAAAAGTTAATATTTGTGGCTCATTAAGTCGCATTGATGTCATCCTTATCAGTGATTGTCGCAGCCTAGCGAATATTCACTGCTGATCAGTGTATTATTTTCTGACTAAACACAATACAATTTAATTTACGATTAGAACTTTCATCGTCATACTGGTTTAATATCATACCTGTCTAAATCATATGGGTCATGTTTAATTCTGTCTCCCCTCAAACATATCTGTCAGGGTATAGCAGATTATAGAAAATAGAATACTATCAACAAATATACTTGATATGATGAATTCACCATATGGACCATGATAACAGTGTATATTTATGTCCACAAAGAGAGAGTGGGCCGTGATAACACTAGTGTATATTTACGTCCAGAGAGAGTGGGCCGTGATAACACTAGTGTATATTTACATCCAGAGAGAGTGGGCCGTGATAACACTAGTGTATATTTACGTCCAGAGAGAGTGGGCCGTGATAACACTAGTGTATATTTACGTCCAGAGAGAGTGGGCCGTGATAACACTAGTGTATATTTACGTCCAGAGAGAGTGGGTGAGGCAGATAGAAGAATAACTCAACACAAACTAGGTTATTTTAAGACTAACATAAAATCATTATTTCTATAATTGGGTCATGCTCCGGGATCTTTACCAATTGTAGGAAACCAGAGTACCTGTATAAATGAAATGAAATGGGGTTTAACGTCCTACTGTTCTGCTCCGAACTCGGCTAATGAAGACGAACCTGTAGAAAACCCATGAGGTGAATCAGACGCCCATATCCTTTTCATATACAGGCCTGGGATTAAAACCACAAAGCTTCACTCCAGGACATACCTTATCATCTAAATGTCAATAATTACGAACACCCTGCCAAATACAACCGAGGGAAGAGTCTCTATATCAACTTGTTATTTTATAAGCCACACTAAGATAAGCAAGCAGGATAAAATATAATACTTACTAATGGTGGAATGATATGTTGAACTGTGGTATTAGCTGTTGTTACTATAGAAGGGGAAGTAACTGAAGCACTACTGTGTGGTGTAGTAGATGTTGATATTAATGTAGGTGTAGGGGCAGTAGATGGTCCTGTACTTACTGCTAAAGCTGTAGCCATTCCTTGTAGTACTGGTAAAGCATGCTGAAATATAACACAAAACAAGATTAATTTGATAATTCAGGAACCACCATGGCAACACTGAATCTAATGCTCAAATTGTTAACAATGTTTTAACATTCCATAAAATAAACCTCTACAGAAATGGACTCTTGATTCGTGTTTTTTTTTATTAATTTTAAGATAAACAAGCCAACAGTGAGGCTGATGTCCCCCGCCGAAATCCCCAAATAAATAGATGACACATATTAATTAATCGCACATCTAATTTTTTCAAAAGTATCGAGCAATCAAACTGATTATCAACTATACACTAAGTTTCATCACTCTCTATCAGATAGAATCAAAGTTATCTTGTCCCAAAGCAGGAAATTGCTTATCTCTGCTTAGCTTTAGCTCGATATGTTAATCATTGAACTCAGTCAAGATGAACATCTACATCAAGTTTAAACATTCTATCTCAATTAGAAGCAGAGTTGTTATGTTCCAAAGTCTTGACCAATCAAAATGCTTGTCACTCTGCTCACCCTGAGCAGAAAATGCTCATTATCGAACTTAATCAAGTTATTGATGTAATGAAACTATACACCAAGTTTCATCACTCTCATTTAATTAGAACGAAAGTTATTGTGTCCCAAAGCATCAACCAATCAAATTGCTTATCTCTACTTACCATAAGCAGAAAATGCTCATCTTCACACTCTATCAAGGCATTGACCTAATAAACACCTACACCAAGTTTGAACATTCTAGGTCAATTAGCAGGAGAGTTATTGTGTCCCAAAAAGTGTGATGGACCGACGGACGGAAAAAGATACTGTGTTTCATCTAACGTGAGAGACGCTACGAGGGTTGGCTGAAAAGTTCTAAGCCTATCTGTGAAACACCTGTACAAAGTCGATGGTTTCCATTTATTTTTCTACATAGTCCCCTTCAAGGTGTACACACTTTTGCCAGTCGAAAGTCGTTGACAGGTGACATTAGGAATTAATATTTAATAAATCTTACCTGATTTTGTACCAGTAGCTGTGGTTGAACTGTTTGTAACTGTGAAGGACTAACAAAGACAATCTGTTGAATACCTGGTAAAGATGTGTTTGGAATGGTCACATTTTGTAATTGACCTGGTGTCAGCTGTCCGGGTGGCGACTGTTGGATTTGTAATTGACCAATCATTGGGTTGCTTTTTAATGGTGTGGAAGGTTGTGATATAGAAGATGTAGGGGATGTAACTGAGGCAGCAGCAGCAGCCTGTGATGTAGCTGTTTGTGCAGCGGAAACAACTTGTTGTAAATTAGCTTGAAGCTGTTGAACTTGTAGCTGTTGTTGTTGTAGTAATAATTGTTGTTGAAGGTTTTGTAGATCTTGTGGGGTTAGCTGAAAACCAGCAGGAAGTGCTGCCGTTACTGGTAACTAAAAATAACAACCAATAATTTTATTATCTGGCTGTTATTTCATCATTACTCTTTATTATATATTCATTCAATTACTTAAAGATAAATTATGGAACATTAGATAAACAGTTGGAAGTTCTCACTTATCTCACTATAATAGTTGACTAGATAATGTAAAGGCAATTTGCTGAAAATTTCAGTCAAATTGATCCACTCTGAACCGAGAATTGAAATTTCGGCCTAGCCTCGATCATCATTACTAAAGTCGGTACGATAAAAAACAGTCTCGATTATCCATTTTTTGATTTAATCAAAAGCAGCAGACCAGGCTCTAATCCAGTAAATATCGCAGGCTAGCGATGCCATTGAGAGTTGATTATGGTCTGGATAAGTTGATTAATGTCTAATTAATAATTTAAATAACATTTCAGGCCTAAAGAAAGACCTGCAATAAGCAGATTTAGCTCTTGCCTGATGTATGTTTAAATAAAAATAGATAACAGTTATTGAAATAAATTTTGAAATGTTCTTTCCTCTGACTTAAAATACAAATGTGACGTCATCCTTTAATGTTGGCGTAATTTCAAATAATGGTACGGCAATGTGCCAAGTGTACATTATTTATATTGGTTGAAATATTGGACCTGCGTGACGTATTTCATTGAAATGCACATGCTGGATAGTGTCTGTATTTTAATGCCCTATATATTACTTAATGTACCGCACTGGACCATTAAACATACATTATGCAAGAGCTAAATCTGCCAATTATTATTAAGTTTTATCGACCGACTTTAGTAATGATGATCGAGGATAGGCCCAAAATTCAGTCGCTAAATTCTCGGTTCAGAGTTGATCAATTTGTCTGAAATTTTCAGCAAATTCACTTTACATGATCTAGTTTCTAACTATTATAGTGAGAACTACTAGCTCTTTATCTAATCTCCCATAATGTATCTTTAAGCTACACTTAAAGATCTCGTCTGATGTAATTTAGTATAAGTTAATATAGAAGTGTACTCTTTCTTATTCAAAAATGTTACATACATAATTTAAATAAAATTGATTTTTTTTAAATGTAAATTGTACGTACCACTGTTTGTTGTCCAAACTGATTTTGTATAATGAATCCGGGTGTTGACATGGCAATAGGTAGTTGTTGTGGTAACAATTGTTGTAATGCCTGGGCAACAGAAGCCGTTGTTTGGTTCATAGCTGACTGACCTTCTGCAGTCTGAAAAAATATTAAATTTTATATCACACAATATTAAATGTCAGTATCACTCGTTTTGAACAAATTCATCGTATTTAATATAGTGCCACTAATTAGAATTGATTATGTTTGATTTTAAAGATAAAATGTGACGTTCTGGTACATGAGTTGGAGCAGTGATAGAACGTGTGATTTATCACAACTAGTCTACCAGTTTATCACCAGAAGACTTGTAAATAATACATCAGGTTATACATATCAATATTCATTCTTTAGATCGTAACTGAGAACATCTTTGATGACAAAAACATAAATCATCACCCCACCCCACAACCCTACCTCTGTGTGAATGATTGAAACTAACAACACAACTCCCCACCCCCGTGTGAATGATTGAAACTAACAACACCCCACCCCCTTGTCAATGATTGAAACTAACACCCCCCCACCCAACCCCTTGTGAATGATTGAAACTAACAACACAACCCAGTATAATGTTTAAAGATATTGATTTTTCTAACTGAAGTGAATTTCCTCTTAACGTTTATAACCTTATTTAAAAATACACCCACAGTAACAACATTTATAAATTCCATGTCAATCACAAGTTAACTATTAGAGCCACCTCAACAAGTTAAACAAGGACAATATCTTTCAAAGTGATTATTGGAAATTATTGCATAACAAGTTAAACAAGGGCAATATCTCTGAAAGTGATTATTGGAAATTAATGAAATTAAATATCTCAAGAACATGAACACTGTGTTCAAATAATTCTGACATAATTTCTAAAAATTAAGTTATGGTGAGCACCCAACCAAGTTTAAAGATAAAGAGAGAAAGAAATGGGGTTTAACGTCCACTCGGCACAAACTAGGTCATTTTGGGGAAAACATGGGTCAATTTTATTTCAATAATTCGCTTGCACATAGGGGTCTTTAGCAACGGGAGGAAAATGGAGAAAACCCACGAGGTCGGACGAGCGATCCCATCCTTGTCACATACAACCAGTGAATCAAAACCATGGCAGTTGACTTAATGACAGACCTTATGATACAGCACGCACGTGCTAACCATTCGGCCGTCCAACCCCACCGTGTACAAATGTAAAGAATATCCAATGATAACTATAGCCTCTGAAACCTAAAATCACTGTAAAATTCTCAAAATGATTAGCATAATAATAATACTTGCCTACAGACGAGGAGGAATATTAATTATTCTGATTATTGTCTATTTACAATATAAACCGTGCCAATAATATAATGGCATGTCTCCAACCTTACTAGACACTATTGTAGTCTTTATTCATATTTCAAATCCTTCAATTTTGTTACTATGTAATATACAATGGTAATTTATACCAATATCATATATTCATTATAAAATTACAATAAATATTATTATAGGGGAAAAATGATATATTAACGTAATTATATTGCTATGTTATAAATATTCAAGTTGGTTATACATATATACAAAAATCAATCGAAAAACTGTACAACATTTACAGTGGACTCTGTCAAATCTGACATCGTACGGGATTGTTACAATATGTCGGATTACGCAGTGTGTCGGATTACTCAGAATAAAACATAACTTGTACCATCTTATTTTAAAACTGTACAACATATGGTAATCATATAGCGTATGCACTGTATCATAAAGCCTGTCACTGAGTCAACTGGCATGGTTTTGAATCCCCGGTTGTACGTGACAAGGAGTAGGGTCGCCTGTCCAACCTCGTGGGTTTTCTACGGGTCCTCCGGTTTCCTCCCACTGCTAAAGACCCCTATGCACAAGTGAATTATGTAAAAAAAATTAAACCATGTTAGTCCTGAAATGACCTAGTTTGTGTCGAGTGGACGTTAAACCCCATTTCTCTCTCTCTCTCTCATATTATATAGAGTGCTGATAAAGTTTGTGAGTTCTGAATATTGTGTCATGTATGTAGGTTTGTTTTGTGTAAATTATGTCTGGTGCAGTCCCCCTGCATTTACTAAAAGAGTTTAAACAATACTTTGGCCATTTTGACATAAAAGGTGACCAACTTCATTTATCTAGTAACGGTTAAAATACGAGGGGGTGGGGGTCTACCAGCTCTTTTTCTTATAATTCTGACGTTACTGGGGGGTTGGATGGCCGAATGGTTAGCACGCGCGCGCTGTATCATACGGTCTGTCATTGAGTCAACTGGCGGGGTTTTGATTTCCCGGTTGTACGTGACAAGGAGTAGGGTCGCCTGTCCAACCTCATGGGTTTTCTCCGGGTCCTCCGGTTTCCTCCCACTGCTAAAGACCCCTACACGCAAGCGAATTATTGAAATAAAAAAATTAAACCATATGTTAGTCCCGAAATGACCTAGTTTGTGTCGAGTGGACGTTAAACCCCATTTCTCTCTCTCTCTGATGTTATTGTCAAGTGTTCTTTTATTTGCCTGCCATCCCCATTACATTATGTACCAGTACAGAGATGGACCTCGGTTTTTCATCCCGTTCAAATGACTAGGCCCTACTTTTCTTGTCAGCTCTAACAAGTTAGAACTGAGATTGATAAATCGTGAACACCACTATTTTACTCACAAATAAATATTCATGCAGACAAACGACATTTTCATGAGAAGTCATATCAATGTAAACTTTACACCTGAGAGGTGAAATTATCTGAACAAATGATTTGTTGACTACATCAGTCAGTAAAATATTTCTCCTTTTTTTATCTATGTATCCTAGGTAACATCAATTTGAACTATATAGTTCTTCGGGACAACTTATAAAAATTCTACTTCTTGGGCAAACAAAATAATACCTGGGCCCTTATTCACGAAAACTTAAACTAAGATACAATCGAAATTTTAAGAAATACTGCAATTCGATTGGCTGACCAGTAAAATCAATTTGCATCTATCCAATGAAGTTGCAGTATTTCTTAAAATTTCGTTTGTAACTTAGTTTAAGTTTTCGTGAATAACACACTGAACTTGTAGTAATATGATACAATGCTATAATCTGTTTGAATGAGATTCTATTACCAAATTATAACTTCAAAACTTAAATGATCTAACTAAAACTGTTTAATCTAATATTTTCTTTGAGTGACATTTAGTAATTGAACATATTAACACAAGGTACAATTTTTATGGATACACCATTACTAAGTTTAATACTAAGCGACATTTCATTTGCTTGATAAAGACGATAGTATCCTCGTCGAAACGTCGCTAAGTATTAAACTCAGTAATTGTGTATTTATAAAAATTCTACCCTGTGTGTTTAATCTTAGGTTAAAATAAATTATTGATTTGCATGAATGTGTGATTTCCATCAGTCATGAGACAAACTTTATAAGATTTTTATTCGACTCAAAAGATTAAGAAGTAACTGATTTTATTTTTGGTTTAATGTGTTAAAATCAATTGTATCTTAACACTGGCTGCTTCTGTCTATAAAATGGATTACCTTCCCACAAAACAAACTAACACATAAAATTCATTTAAATCTACCATTTTAATTTGACCCAGATCAAAGAGGTATATCGTGAGTTACTACTTCCAAACAATCTTAAAACGGTTATTGTAAAATATAATCTGAATCTTCATCAATTTTAAAACTACAAGAGATGATTTAAACTACTGGTATATAACTTGGTTATAATCTTCTCCATAACAACCTAATCAAAATAATATCCCATACATTTTCAATAATCATTCATTTTCATGTTCCCCCTTCAACTTATTATAATTTCAAAGAATAAACAATTTTGTTATCATTAAAATTTTAACGAACAGATTTTTTTCATTGTTACCATAAGTATTTTAAATCAATAAATCAATAATTTCTGGAAGGTACCATAAATACATGAAGTTAAGCTTATAGACATGTCTTATATCTCTTTTATTGATAGCAACAAATTTTCAAGTTGACAGTGAGCTATTACAATATAAATTTAATAAATTACTGTGCCATTACATTTTAAATGTAAACATTACAATGTAACTTTATCCCCAATAAATATGCCAAACCCTTTAATCCACAAATAATTTTGGTTATTACAAAATCTGGACATTACATAATGATGTGACGACCGGGAGACTAAGATTTGGGGGACATCCCATCCCAGGTTATTTAGCATTCCATTACTGAAATCTTGATATTATCATTAAATATTTATTTTAACCATGGAACCCAGTACAGTATGCTGTGTGTATATGCTTCAGTTAAATATTGTTTATTAAATCTATATTGAAACATGAACCACGTAGGTTATTTTTAAATTATTGAAAATTATTTCTGTCCCTATGGCTACATGGTTCATACGACAGACCCTGTATGATACAGTCTCAATATTACATAATCTGACAATAACCATTATAATATGACTCAGATAAATCGTGATTTTAAAATATAAGACAAGATAGGTTTATATATACCTGACACAGAACTCCAACATAAGGTTGTACAACTGGTAATAACATTATAAACTGTTGTATGTAAATCACAAGTCAGTATCCATTATACACCAGCTCATTTGCAAATCATATCATTAGTATGCATGACCCTCACTTCATTTGACATTAAAATGAAGACCCCAGGCATATCATTTGCATCTCATTATCTGACACGGTCTTCCTGCCAGCTTTATGGATGAAGAATTTCTATTTATATGCAAATAATGGCAGCCTGTTCCTTCATTTTACTGTGCTTATTATCTTCGACAATATTCCTTGAATATTGATCAAATAAAAATGTCTGCAAGCGTGTGTGTGTGTTTATACTTGTTGACCGTGTTACTGTAGCGTGCTATCCATCTCCAGTTCTCAACTCAACTCTCTAGCCAACTACAAGTCCTCGAAAATGTTTAATATCATATTACCATGTGAACCATGCATAATTCATATACTTCCAACTGAATTTAAATGAATAGAGAATTCTACAGTGCTTTTTGTCTACAGTAATGTACAATGACTCATTCAAAAAACATCTCTTCAATTGTGTGTTAAAAACTCCATGAATAAAATACAGACATTTTGCCAAATCTGACATGAGATTTTTAAACTGAACAATATATGAATAAATAAAATTTTCTTTTATCAATTTTGGCAACATCACAATATTTTATTTTTATGTAGGCTACATACAATAAAAATCATATTTGATAATCTTGTTCCTTTTAAAACATACTTATTTGTTCTGTTTGTGGTTTGTGTTGCAGTTTTCCTGTTCTGCCTATTTAATACATGTATAAATAAAACTGATGCTGTTGTCTTGACAATACACATTAATCCAGAAAGAGTGAGAGTGAGAGAGATGGGGTTTAACGTCCACACCACACACACTAGGTCATCTCGGGACTAACATATGGTTAAATTTTATTTCAATAATAATAACTTTCACATTAATTCTGGGTGTTGGTTGATACAGAGAGAGAGAGAGAGGGAGGGAGGTCCACTCGACACAAACTAGGTCATTTCAGGACTAACATATGGTTCAATTTTATTTCAATAAAGGGGGTTTTAGCAGTGGGAAGAAACCGGAGGACCTGGAGAAAACCCACGAGGTTGGACAGGCGACCCTACTCCTTGTCACATACAACCAGGGAACCAAAACCACGCCAGTTGACTCAATGACTGACCTTATGATACAACGCGCATGTGCTAAATATTCGACCATCGCCCCCCCTCGATTGATACAATAAGTTTCAGTATTCAAATCAAATGCTAGAATGTAAAGATTTATAATTTAATGATGGTGTGACCATCTAAAAGTTCCATCTCAGAATATTGAGCCTTTTACCTGTTTAAACCTTGTGTGGACACGTCGCACGGAAAAACATTGTCGGCAACAAGGGGTAATCTAAGACCCCAGATATAAATAGGTTTTTGGATGCATAATTTTATTCAAATACGATCAAACTACAGCTTCATATAAAGATAGAATAATAATCAATCAGAGTGAAAAAAAAATATTTGAGGTATTAACAGTGACGATATGAATTATAAGGTATTTTTGAAACCATACAAATCTACAAATAACTTGTTATTTCCATGTAGAATCATCTTTCGATGGTTTTGGTAGAGTACCTAGATTTGCTTTCAGATCTAGATTACTAGAATGATCAACACAATATCATCTTCAGTAAGAATGAATCTACAAACAAAGCTAGCACCGAGCGCAGAACAAATTAGACACTTATAACCAACAAAATGTTGAAAGGAAAGGAGAGGTGGGGGTCCACAAGACCCCTTGTTTCCAATAATGTAATACCCGTAGTTTCTTGTCAAATGATGAATGTTGCCACTGCCTTACTTCCGTTCTATTTGCAGCATTATACTCGACATTAAATAGCTGACGATGTATAAAATTCTCGCTAGACAATTATGAACCAGTTCCTCACAAATGTTAAGGACATGATTATGGGGTCCCGAAATACCCTTTGTATACGCACAAGGGTTAAAAGGGTTGGGTATGACAAATAAAGACCTGATAAACATGACAAACTCACTACGGAAAGCTTATACATGGTTATCCAGATACTTACGTCACATTGGAACATTGTTGCCACTCAAAATTCAATCGACCATTTATATTCTTCAAAAAATTATTCATATTTTATCTTATTGTTCCACTAGACTAGATTAATCAGGTCTTTAAAATACAATTACCTAGTTTTATTCAATAAAATATATCTGGCACAGTTCATTTAAGCCCTGGATATTCATTTTAGTTTTATGTTGACAGTGGGACACACATCTCATTACTGTACATTATTTCAACATTACATTAGCTTGATCTACATGTATGTTGTGAAATTTTGATTGAAAGCAGATTGTCATACCAAAAAACTAAACAACACTTAAAATTCATTGTACTGGTAATCAATAATCTTATATTTTAATCAAACGAAAGAGGTGAATGATATTTGCCAGTCACAAACCTCTTCTATTAAATGAATGAAAGGTCTTCTAAATACAGATCTATGTGTCTCATTTAGCCAGATCTGTTGTTATATTTTTTTATAAAGGGGTGTTGTGTGTGCTTGTATTTGTAGTTTGGGATGCTGGTATTTTGTAATGCTTTGTATCTTCTGAATGGTTGTATTTGTATTTATTGTAAGTGTAAGAGTATTTATCATAGGTATAAGAGTATTTATTGTGGATATAAGAGTATTTATTGTAGGTGTAAGAGTATTTATCATAGGTATAAGAGTATTTATCATAGGTATAAGAGTATTTATTGTAGGTATAAGAGTATTTATTGTGGGTATAAGAGTATTTCTTGTGGATATAAGAGTATTTATTGTAGGTATAAGAGTATTTATTGTGGGTATAAGAGTATTTATTGTAGGTATAAGAGTATTTATTGTAGGTGTAAGAGTATTTATCATAGGTATAAGAGTATTTATCATAGGTATAAGAGTATTTATTGTGGGTATAAGAGTATTTATTGTAGGTGTAAGAGTATTTATTGTAGGTGTAAGAGTATTTATTGTAGGTGTAAGAGTATTTATCATAGGTATAAGAATATTTATTGTAGGTGTAAGAGTATTTATTGTAGGTGTAAGAGTATTTATTGTAGGTGTAAGAGTATTTATTGTAGGTGTAAGAGTATTTATTGTAGGTATAAGAGTATTGTTGTAGGTATAAGAGTATTTATTGTGGGTATAAGAGTATTTATCATAGGTATAAGAGTATCTATCATAGGTAAAAGAATATTTATTGTAGGTGTAAGAGTAAGAGTATTTATTGTAGGTATAAGAGTATTTATCATAGGTATAAGAGTATTTATTGTAGGTGTAAGAGTATTTATCATAGGTATAAGAGTATTTATTGTGGGTATAAGAGTATTTATTGTAGGTGTAAGAGTATTTATTGTAGGTGTAAGAGTATTTATCATAGGTATAATAAGAGTATTTATTGTAGGTGTAAGAGTATTTATTGTGGGTGTAATAGTATTTATTGTAGGTATAAGAGTATTTATTGTAGGTACAAGAGTATTTATTGTAGGTATAAGAGTATTTATTGTGGGTATAAGAGTATTTCTTGTGGATATAAGAGTATTTATTGTAGGTATAAGAGTATTTATTGTGGGTATAAGAGTATTTATTATAGGTATAAGAGTATTTATTGTAGGTGTAAGAGTATTTATCATAGGTATAAGAGTATTTATCATAGGTATAAGAGTATTTATTGTGGGTATAAGAGTATTTATTGTAGGTGTAAGAGTATTTATTGTAGGTGTAAGAGTATTTATTGTAGGTGTAAGAGTATTTATCATAGGTATAAGAATATTTATTGTAGGTATAAGAGTATTTATTGTAGGTATAAGAGTATTTATTGTAGGTGTAAGAGTATTTATTGTAGGTATAAGAGTATTTATTGTAGGTATAAGAGTATTTATTGTAGGTGTAAGAGTATTTATCATAGGTATAAGAGTATTTATCATAGGTATAAGAGTATTTATTGTAGGTATAAGAGTATTTATTGTGGGTATAAGAGTATTTATTGTGGATATAAGAGTATTTATTGTAGGTGTAAGAGTATTTATTGTAGGTATAAGAGTATTTATCATAGGTATAAGAGTATTTATTGTGGGTATAAGAGTATTTATTGTAGGTGTAAGAGTATTTATTGTAGGTGTAAGAGTATTTATTGTAGGTATAAGAGTATTTATTGTAGGTATAAGAGTATTTATTGTAGGTATAAGAGTATTCATTGTGGGTATAAGAGTATTTATTGTAGGTGTAAGAGTATTTATTGTAGGTGTAAGAGTATTTATTGTAGGTATAAGAGTATTTATTGTAGGTATAAGAGTATTTATTGTAGGTATAAGAGTATTCATTGTGGGTGTAAGAGTATTTATTGTGGATATAAGAGTATTTATTGTAGGTATAACAACCCTTGAAGTAACTACATTGTATCAAAAGTAATTGAAATTTGGTAAAATGTCTTGTTCTTCCTAGTGATAAAATGTTTATTATATAAAACATAGTTATCTGAACATCACTTTTGAATCAAACGCAATAACTCATCAATAAATATCAAAATTCCTCAAAAAATAGACACCAACGTTATAATAAAAACCAGCAAGTTTCATTGGTCAATAATTTGAACTGATGCCATGCATCATATATAATTTGTAGACAAGACCTGAGGTGTTGACAGTTCAATCTAGTGATCAATTTAACTTACCTGGATTAATATTGGTTTCATGTCACCTGTATTCTGATTGTTAACTGCTGTTGTATTGGTTGCCATGGTATTAAGAGTAGCCTGGGATATCTGTCCATTCATTGTGATGCCAACAACACCTTAAATTTTAATCAATATTAAAACTTTACACCCTCAATAAGTTAAAATAGGTTGCCAGGCAACAAAACATATGCCCACAGCAGCAAAATCGTCCTAGCGGTCGACAAAGGTTGTCGCATATATTCATTCTTTTGTAGGTAACTAGGGAAATTTACAAGACAATTTCATACAGTAACAGATCAGATCATTTTCGCTGTCTGAGGGTTCATAAGGTTCTAAAAATTGAAATAAGGGCCTTAACTCTGGAAGTAATTTACAGAAATTGTTAAAATAAGACAGGGTTTTTTGTTTTACTGATTTACATAATGCATATAAATTTCATACAGACCGGATGATAAATTTTGTTATTCAAACAAATGTTCACAAGGTCCAACAAAGTAAAGCGAGGGCCATAACTCTAGAAGTAAATGATGACAGAAAATTGCTGAAATTCTTAGGCTTCTTCGTTTCACTAATCTAAATGATACATATAACACAGATTTTTATGAAAGCTTCTAGTGGAATTATAAAAAAAAAAATCTGATTATTTTCTGATGTTTTTATCAAATTTTCTATTTTTATCAAATTTTCTGATATTTTTATGTTTATAACACATTTCATGACTTTTTATGTTTTTATCATTATCAAATATTATGATTTTTTTTTATATAACTGCACTGACAGTAAATAAATTATCTCCAGTCCATGAAGTAGTGTTCGGCCAGTGTTATGCGAAAAAAAACGCCCCACCAGTACCACTGGTGATATTAATGGTCGCAGTCAACTTCTCCTACATGTATGTTCATATGAAATGAAATAGGGTTTAATGTCCTACCGTTCTGCTCTGGCTGGGCTAATGAAGACAGGCTTACGCCATACAGTGTGCTATGAGGGAAAATTTGCCCAGATAGCCGCACTACGGCCTACTTTTATTTTATCGAATCCCAACTACCAAGAGATCTTTAATGTGCATGCCAATGTGTACACGGTGATGGGACCTCGGCTTTCGTCCCATTTGAACGACTATATGTTGCTCCTTGCCAGCCCTCGGTCCTGCACCACTGACAAGGAGGAATGACGGCAGAAGATCCCAATGTATTAAAGTGATTTATATTCAATTTCTAAAACATTTATTGTCATTTCTAATCAATTCAATACATGGACAGTCCATTTTTAACAGCTGTCATTTAGGTCTGTTTTAGTCCATTCTACACAATATTTTAATTATTATTTTGTCGTTTGTGAATCAACCATTACTAATTACTTCTGAATTGTCTCGTGGGATATATTTATCTCTGTTAATTACAAATGGCACCTGAAACCTTACACGACTTGTGTATAAATTTTAAAATGTTCACTTGTGTCTTAAATATTTGATATAAGGATCCTATATTTTCACAGCAGGATGATAACAAAATCAATATTGATCGAAATGAATCAATAATAAATTCTAATTCATGCTTTTAATTTGGAATATTATGGAAAATATTGAGTTAGTGATTTAGCTTCTTTAAGCAAGCCATTCTTCTATTTTACTATTCTTTAGTATATCGTCATCAAGTGATACAAACTAGAGAGCTTACAAACATTTCATTATTAATTTATATATTCACACTCCCAGAGCTAAAAAAAAAAAAAGCTTAACTTTTAACTGAGTCTCTATCTAGAGAAGATTACAAATATCTCATTATTAATTTATATATTCACACTCCCAGAGCTTAAAAACCAAAGGTACCGCTATTTCTAAAATTGAAATAGATGTGGGGGAAATCAAAAGTGAATATAGAGTGGTAATTTTGTTTGGATCTTATTTATCATTTTATAGATTTTTTAAAAAAATTGTTCATTTGGTTTAAAATACAACACATCACCTATATTTATGTTTTATTGTGTTTCACTATAATATTGTAGTATTAAGTAATGTCCTTTTTCTTCCCTAAAATTGTATTAAATTCTCTTAGCTACAAATCTTTATTAGAATTGTATAAAATTTTTATTGCTGCAAATCTTGTGGAAGTATATCCTTCTTTTTATTGTAAAATGTTTGTCTTTTATAAGGTTCAAATAAACTGAGAATTGAAACCATGGAAAGATAATTAAATCATGATGAACACTGTTAACTCATCTGGGTAAAACCATGGCAATACCGTTCATAACAAATTATTACAAACCCTGGCTATAAAACTTAGAGGATTTTGTTAACAGGACATTACACATTCTTCAAAAGCACATGCTAAAGTACAGAGACACACTTCTAGACTCTATTAAGGTTTTTTTTAAAACTGAGTGATTAATCAATTTGTAAATTTGACATTACTTTAACACTTTTTTAAGGACTTCAGCTATTTTTTTTAAATAAAACATAAAAATAATAATCTTACTTTATAGCCTTGTGCTGCTTTGTCTGTGGTAAAGGTATTTATTCTGCATCAAATGTGCCTTACAAATAATTGGGTGGGGGTGGGTGGACACATGGATCTTAATAAATCAGTTCAAGGCTATAGACTAGTAATAGGCCTAGTAATAGTATAAACTTATCTAAATGAAATGAATGCAAGTTACTGGCTAGGCCTAGTTTGTAAGATGTAGTTTGTAAAACTATAATTGTATTAGCAATATTAACAATTTCTTTTAAAAAAGAGACAATTATAATATCTTTAGACTGTCATAACATTACAATGTCATGTTTAAAAAAAATACGATGGATGGCATGCCACGGGATAGGGCTTTTAAGACGCTCCGTGCCCTGGTGTAAGGCCGTGTTTGATTGAGATAATCGTCGATGACAGGTGCGTGAATCGAGATTGTACACTCGATGGACAAAGCTAAAGTTTTCAAACATCACATCAGCATTAATTATATATCTAGATTATTAAATACGAATACACGTGTTTGTCTTGTTGTCTAACTTCACATACTCATGTTAGGTATTCCGACCGACACGCTTATTTGCATGCATGTCGTAAAAAAATAGACAACATACCACCGCGAAATATGACACAAATAATTCGACACACACTTCGCTCATTTTTGAGAGATCTAAAATCCTTCTAGAATCACCCCAACGTTTCAATATTACAAATAAACCGTTTAATTAAAATAATTAACTATTGGTTAATCAAGAACTGAAGCATACATTATGCTAACCCAAAGATATGAATATGTAAAAATCCCATTATTACCTTGCTTTTCATTTGGAGACGACGCTTGCTCCGCCATTTTGAATAATAAAATCTTATAATTATTCTTCGGTAATGTCCGGAAATAAACAAAGAATCTTCTTCGGGAAGCGGGATAAAATAACTGACGATTATTTCTAAATTTAACCATGTAGAGTTTTCATATATTATTTTTAAAGTGCATTATCGTTCTGTAAACTGGTATATTTTATTAATGAGAATTTCAATTTTATCAAGACATTTGTGAGAATTTCGATAATGTCTAGTCGATGGGAGGCAACTCTAATTATGTCTCGTTTTATGGGATAATTCGCCCAAACAATAGTCCAAACGGCCATACATTCGGTCATAACGGCCACATATTTGGCCACAGCGGCTAAACAAAATTCAAAATGGTTGATGTAATACTTGTTATTCATTATCAAACCAATGATACTTAAACATACATTATGCTACAGTTAAATCTGCCTATTGCAGGTCCTTCTTTGGGCCTGAAATGTTATATAAACTATTAATTAGACATTTATTAACATGAAAAGATCATAATCAACTCTCGATGCCATCTTATGCGTCGGATTTTCACTGGATTGAATCAGATTTGCTGCTCAATGCTCATTGATGATTTAATCCAAAGATATTAGAATAAATCTTCTTCAAAACTATTGTCACTCAACGCCAAACGAAATATGATGTTAAATTCTTTGTTCATATGGAAATCCGTAAATAATTATTCTTAATATAATCTTTAAATATACAATGGTACAATTTTAAACTATATTTTTTTACTACCTTTAATCTGTGCCGTTTGTAGTTCTCCATATACAAGTTACGTGGCTTATTTTAAATATTGTATACCAGTTGTACTGGTGCAGGGCCTGACAAGGACTAGGTGTCTAGTTGTTCGGATAGGGCAAAAAAGACGAGGTCCCGTGTATACATCGGCTTGCACGTAAAAAATCCCTTGTCAGTTGGAATAAGAGTATAGGGTATAGTGTAGCTGCCCGGGCAAAATTTCCCTCATAGCACACTCTATGGCGTATGCCCGTCTTCATTAGCCCAGACGGAGCGAACCCAATTTTATTTCATTTCATACCTTTGTTACCATTTGGGCCACAACGTACTTGAATGTTTTAGATGTTGTTACTGGCTGTAAAACACCGTCTTCGTCTTGTTGCTTTAGAAGGATTGTCACATTCCTAGTTTGCTTCTCCGATCAATCCAGATTTTTAATTGACATGGCACGATCTATTTTAAAGAGCTCGAGACCTGTTTCACGAAATTTTAACTAAGATAAAATCCAAATTTTAGTAATTTGATTGGATAATATTAGATTGATTTTAGTGCTTAGCCAATCAAAATTGAAGTATCTACTAAAATTGGATTTTATCTTTAGTTAAAATTTCGTGAAACAGGGCCCCGCGGTTTGTAGTTTAATTGCCAACCAAATGTAGAATCGGACAAATATAAATGGCAACACTATTGATTCGTTTCGCTATGAGTAAGCATGTCCTGCCCCGTGTGCAGAAAGATATTGGGATTTGTTTAATCTGTTTAGATGCTACTTATTGAATGTATTGTATTCCGCCCTTCGGTTTAGGGTTAGGGTTATGGGTGGATGGCCGAATGTATTGTATTCCGCCCTTCGATTTGTAGGCGACGTGATACACAGGGAAGTGAATAATTCCCGGGCTGAGGTACGTATTTCGGCTGCCCCTATGATGGTCTTTATGAAAATGATAAATTACTATTTATTTGTTGCATAATTAATCTGTTTTTTTTACTCACATCGGCGTCTTTATTTTTTTTTTATTATAAAAGTATGAATATAAAGGTGTCATGAATCATGAAGTGGGCTACCCTGGTAGATATTGTTGGGAATATAATAAATAATAGATTAAGACTACTGTTTAGAAGCTTACGCAGATAAGTGAAGTCTTACATTCGAAATATTTTATGCGTGTCAAAAGGTTGTGAAAAGTAGATTTGTAACAGATTTTGCTCTGCTTTATAACATTTCCTGCGAGAGAGAGAGAGAGAGAGAGAGAGAGAGAGAGAGCGAGAGGGAGAGTGGGGGGGGGGGGTAACGTCCATTCGACACAAACTGGGTCATTTTATATCAATAATTCACTTGCGCGTAGGGGTCTTTAGCAGTTGGAGGAAACCGGAGGACCCGGAGAAAACCCACATTATAGGCCTACTTATCAACAGAACATGTTTTTTATGGAATAAAATTACTACAACTAAAAATAAAGCCTATCACAGCATATAATATCCTAGATTTCTGTATATTCAGATTTTATTCACCGCAAGCCTTTCAGTTTTCAAAACCCATGATCCAAACTTGGCGAGATATCTTTAACGTGGGGACAGGTTGTCTTTGGGCGAAATGTCTAAAGCCGCAGATTCGAACTAAGTCGCTGTCAAGTCCAACATGGCGACTCCTGTCGAAGGAAGTTCAATGAATTCCACAACTAAACACAAGACTCTTAGCTGTGTGTTTAAATTAGTTGGGGACCAAATGACGTCAATTGATGTAGCCGTTTTGAAGTTTCTGTATACGAAGATAATGAACGATGAATTAATTTCCAACGTGACGGACGGTTACAGTTTTCTAGTAGCTCTCGAAAAAATGGGTCGTGTTGACGAAACAAATTTCAAGCATATTTTGCATTTATTACGAACAATAACAAGACACGATCTTACTCATCTGGTAAACTTACGGAAGCGTAAGACAGGTAGCTCACAATTTCACTACTACATTATAGGCTGTGCCGATATTTTTTGTTTTTTTATGTATAATATTCATTATTATTATTTAGCCTATAAGAAAGAAGACAAATGTTTATTTTCAATAAATTTGGAAAGGGATTTCATCCAATAGTCTACCAGTTTTGATCAATTAATAGGCTGACAATATTGTATTTTTTTACATCTGCAATTTTTGTAGAGTGTGGTTATAATTATTACCCTGATGCAGGGAGGGCCTGGCAAGTGACAACGTGTAGTCGTTTCGAGGGGTAAAAAAAAAAATGAGGTTCCATGTATACATTGGCCTTGGCATGCGGGTAAAAGGAACCCTTTGCAATTGGAATATTTGATATGGAGTAGGCTGTATTAGCAAAATTTCCCTCAGTACAGCATACTGTATAGTGTATGCCCGTCTTCATTAGTCCAGTCAGAGCAGAACAGTAGGACGTTAAACCCCATTTCATTTTATTTTATTTGTATATTACCTGGTAATTAAATTTTTGGTCAGATTACCAAAACTTAAGCATGGACACCAATATGAAAATGGTTTATTTCATTTTTCAGTTGAACTGGATCCTGTTGACGTGTATTTAAATGAAACAGAACATAAACAGAAAAATAATTCGAACATTTCAAATGTAGATAAAGACGATAATTCCAATTTAGATAAAACTTTTTCAACTAGTGATAATAGACCTAGTACGTCACACAGAAAAAGGCAAAGGAAATCATGTTCAATGACAAAAGTAAAATCTTCAAGAACGGACCATCAATTAAAGAATGTGGATGAAGAATTAGAAATGAAGAAGAAAGAGACATGTGGTAAGTATTATATTAAAGACGTTAGTGTTGTGTGTAATTATAAACCCAAATATTCTAGTAGTTTAAAGATCTTAGTGTTGTGTTATGTGTAATTGTAAACCAAAATATTGCAGAATTCTTGGATGTTGGTCTGTATTTTATTTGGTTCACAGTTTTTTGAGATTTTTTTAAAAACTTGTTGGGATTTGTTAGGTTAAAGTATCTAAGTCTCTAACTCAATATCATCCAAAGTCATACATGTTGAAAATACGAATTATTTGTCATTTAAAAATCAACATTGATGTTGTGATCTTACCAGGAAAAGACATGCTTCTGATATCCAATATTTAAGACAAAAATAAACATTTTACCATTGGTACACGAATCGTGTATTATAGTGCGTTTTACTGTCATTTGCAACAAGTGACCAGAAAGAACGAAGCTAGACATATTCAGCTGGAGAGCCTGCTCAATAGACTGGAGTAACCAGACGCTAGAAATTGCTATAGGGTTGAGACACAGGCCGTATTTCACTGGACATAACTGATTTGAAATTAAGAGTCAAAACGGAAACAATTGAATGTAAATCAGTTTATATACAATCAGATTACATTATTATATGCGTTGCGACCCATTTGGGTCAATTTCTAGGTCCCAAATATTAGCGATTTAGCTCCTTTAAACATCAGTAGGAATCCTATTGAATTTCTGAATTGCTTATGAGTTCAAATGGAGCTAACTCCCTTAACACTTACACGTTATGTCTTATAAATGTGAACAGTTCATATGTTTTAGCTTTTTTTAAAAAAAACCAAATCTTGCCTGCGTGTTTCTCCCGGTGGAAAAGTTGGTCTATTGCAATTGTAGTGGGACCGTTTCCATGTAATCATTTTCGTGCTTAAAAAAAAAGTTGCTTGATGAGCGGCTTTTCCGTAGAATTTTTTTCACGTGAAGAGTGCACATGCGTGTCATACCTGCCGTATGAACACAGGTTCTCTTCCACTTATGCAAATGGCAGATTCTTTGAACATGGTGTTATGACATCATTTACGTGGGATTCCACAAAATACAGTGTGAAATTCCATACATGGAAAGCAAGCCAAACCCAATTGAAATTCAGAATTGTGTTTGAAATTTACACATGGTTCTTACCCTTGTCACCTATGCAAGAGTTGTTTTTTTTAGATGTTTTTAACTGGCTGGAATTGCTCGTGAAGAAGAGCCCTATCTTAACCCAGCCTTGCTGATCAATTTACGTGTGTAGTTATTGACTTGAAGGCCACCATTGTTATAAAATACAAAAGTAAAAAGTCTAGGGGCTAAATGGTTAAAGGCCATAATAATTGGAATCTCTCGTACTATTTATTATATATATTATAAAGTGTGCACTGCTAGTATTTGATAGTTAATTATCAATAACACACAGATTGTTTATCCCTGTACATTCCAAAACCTGTCTATGAATATAGAATGACTCAGTCTTTGTGTTGTAATTGACCTTCAAGTATTCTCTCTTTAGTAGATTCCACATGTTGATGTATATTATTTTGTTTTATTTTTTCAGATATAAAATTAAGGGTGAGAGCTGAATATTGTCAACATGAAAATGCATTAGATGGAAATATTTTCTCGAATAAACCTGAATTATTAGAAAGACAATTTGAAAAATTTGCTCAAGCAAACACTATTTTAAAATCTCGGGACTTAGGCTCTATTGTGTGTGATATAAAATTTTCAGAGCTAACTTATTTAGATGCGTTTTGGAGAGATTATATAAATGGGTCTTTGTTAGAAGCTCTTAAAGGTGTTTTTATAACAGGTTGGTGTTGTCTTCTAGTTGTTTCTGTCTAATATTACCTGTATTCCATGTTGGGTGGCACAGTGAGCAAGGTGCTAGCTCGCTCACCTGGAGTTCTCATGTACAATCCCGATGATGGTCAAGAATGTTCCTCCAGATTTTCTGGCGTTGTTGCCTTTTGTTAGTGTGCAGGATTTTAAATCTGGTAATAGCATCTAGTCGTTTGAAAGGGACAATAAACGACGTATGTACTATGTGTACATCTTGGTGTGCACGTAAAAGAACCCCAGACAACTGGAATTCAATTGCTGACCAGGTAAAATTTCCCTCAGCACACTGTATGTCCGTAGGTTCAGAAAACAAGGACATTAAACCCCATTTCATTCACATTATCTGTATTGCGTGGGGGTAAGGGCTGAATGCGACCTGAAGGGAGTAGACAAAAATCTGTATGAAAATGAATGTGAAGTGCCAATGCTCTTCACACTATCAGTGTTTCGTTTGATAAATCTACACCTAACATATAAGCCATGTCTTTAACTCGTACGGCAGTAAATAACAAATAAGATAGTTTGCTACATATGGGTTGTTACTGCTTTCTTTAAATTTAATTTAGTATTTAGTCGTGGTTGGGGAGACACGGTGGCTAAATAGGTAAGATGCTGACTCGCTAGCCTGGAGGTCGGGTATTTGATCCCTATATTGGCCGAGAAAGTTCATCAGCATTTTCCGACGTGGTTACCCCCTTGCCAGTGGTGCAGGATGGAGGGCCTGACAAGTACAGCTGTCTAGTCATTCTGATGGGATGAAAAACCGAGGTCCCGTGTATATGTTGGCATGCACATAAAGATCCCTTGACAGTTGAAATTCGATATAAGAGTAGGCCATAGTGCCGCTGGCCAGGCAAAATTCCCGTCTTCATTAGCCCAGTCAGAGCAGAACAGTAGGATGTTAAACCCCATTTCATTTCATTTTAGTCGTGGTTGTCACTGTAGGAAAATAAAACAAAAAAAACATGACACTTATAATTTGATAGTAGTGGATGACATTTTCACTCTGAACAAAATTCCATGGCTCATATTGTATTTAATAAATAAATAAAAATTAGCATATTGTCATCTCATAATAATTAAAGTTGTTTTTATTTCCAGATACATTAAAACAAGCAGTAGGTCATGAAGCTATCAAGTTATTGGTTAATGTTGATGAGGATGATTACGAAGCTGGAAGAGTCAAATTATTAGCTAATTTAACTCTCTAGTTATTATTATATGTCCATGTTATTTATTATTGTTTTGTTTTTTATAAATGGGCCAAGTCTCCGTTCATATATCTTCATATTATCAAGTTTAAGTAGATACTTATTTTAACCCTTTGTTGTCCAACTAGTTGTATGTACATATACTCAAGTACAAATTAAACGGTTAGCTATGTGAATTTCTCAAATATTTGATATCAGATTTTCTAGAATGAAAAAGCATACCCTGTCTTGTTTACAAATTAAACAGTTAGCTGTGTGAATTTCTCAAATAAATAAAAGTGATATCAGATGTTCTAGAATGAATAAGCATACCCTGTCTTGTTTATGATACCAACAACTATTTATAACTGTTTACTAGTATGTTATTACCTAGTTGACAACCAGTATATGATTAATGTATATTCTGGTGATGTAGGTCCCTCAAGCAGCCAGATCAGACCTTGGTGATGATATCTTATTCATGAAACATCAACTAAAACAGTGTAGAAATATTGAATTTTGATTGAGGACTGAAATTCGTGTTGAGGTTTTAGTTTTTAACTAATTAAAATGAGATATACAGTAATATCTGAGTTAAAGTTTTCATAAAATAAAGAGTTGAGATATACCATACTAATTAAAATTAAGAGTTGAGATATACCATACTAAATGAAATAAAGAGTTGAGATATACCATTCTAAATGAAATAAAGAGTTGAGATATACCATAAAATGAAATAAAGAGTTGAGATATACTGTACTAAATGAAATAAAGAGTTGAGATATGTATAAAATAGTCTTGATAATATAAAGATGATGTTTTTACATTAGAAAGATGAAACTCGACCCATAGAAAAAAATAAATGTGCCATACATTTTATTGTGCTATCAAAAAACTTACAATACGATTATTTCAACTTACCGTGTGTGTTTTATTGTGTTGGGAGTGTGAGTTTATACCCTGTCATTGTTTTAGTCGTATAAAATTGTCTGTTCTTAAATATCATAGATAGAACTACAGACATCGTGCAGGTTACCACCCTGGGCATGGATGCATCTAATTCAGGCAACACATGATGGTGTATAAAGTTTTTTTCCTAGTAATTGCCGGACTTGTTTTATTTTTACTTAAAGTTACAGCCATTTAGATTGTTAAAATTTTGTAATTATGTTCCTTCTGTTGATATCCCCAAACATTTTAACTGAATATTATAGGCTGAAATTGATGAACACATTTATATTATTTGATGAATGATCATCCATATTGGGTATAGATAACTGACTAGTAGTAGAATCAATACTTCTATAAGGCATGTTTTAACCAAATGGTAGATTTAAAATATGGTCTTGAAGGTTTAAAGAATATTGCTGACACAAGTATTGGGATAATTAAATTCATGTCAAGGCGATTATAACTAGTTTGTCATACCGATTATAACTAGTTTGTCATGGCTATTATAACTAGTTTGTCATGACGATTATAACTAGTTTGTCATGACGATTATAACTAGTTTGTCATGGCTATTATAACTAGTTTGTCATGATGATTATAACTAGTTTGTCATGACGATTATAACTAGTTTGTCATGACGATTATAACTAGTTTGTCAGTGTTTATTAAAACAGTTGTTTTATCTCTTAGCATTTATTTAATTATTTGAAATCAGTAAAATTATCTCATATTGAAATGGAAACAAACAAATAAAGGATTAACACTTTTTATAAATCTACAACCAAAACCACACCAATAATTATAACAGAGTTAAATAACATTGGATTAATTTCTCAACATATTTAAAATGTAAGATGTGACTACTAGATAGGAATGTATGTTTAAGTGAGTCTCATAATATCTATTATATCATTGTGAATATGTTCAGTTGATCATTGTGGATATATTCAGTTGATCATTGTGAATATGTTCAGTTGATCATTGTGGATATATTCAGTTGGTCATTGTGGATATGTTCAGTTGATCATTGTGGATAAATTCAGTTGATCGTGGATATATTCAGTTGATCATTGTGGATATATTCAGTTGATCATTGTGGATATGTTCAGTTGATCGTGGATATATTCAGTTGATCATTGTGGATATATTCAGTTGATCATTGTGGAGTTGATCATTGTGGATATATTCAGTTGATCATTGTGGATATATTCAGTTGATCATTGTGGATATATTCAGTTGATCATTGTGGATATGTTCAGTTGATCGTGGATATATTCAGTTGATCATTGTGGATATATTCAGTTGATCATTGTGGAGTTGATCATTATGGATATGTTCAGTTGACCATTGTGGAGTTGACCATTGTGGATATGTTCAGTTGATTATTTTTAATTATTAACAATCTGTTTAAAAATAAACTTGTAATTATTTATTCCTTTATCGTTCTTAATGTTTACTATCATTTATAATATATTCTCTTCAGTTGAAATTTATAAACTTGTTAAATCTGCTTAACTGTGGGATAAAAATTAATTTAGATGCAGAGAGTAGACATAAATAGATAGAGAAGTGACTGTTGAACAGAAGTATAACAGAGTTAGGTAGAATAAAGTTTGATATATAAGGTTTCAGACCTTGTTAAGGGTTGCATTAAATTCAACTTTTATTCTACCAAAGTCTGCTGATGTCTTTCTGTTCTAGATGGACTACCCTATGTTTTGTTATAACATCGTCATTCTATATTCCATAACTAGTACCACAGTTCTTGCTAATATCCCGGTTTATACAGCTATACTGATTCACATAACCTCATAGATTCTAACAAACAAATTAAAATAATTGAAAGATTTGTGTTTGTATCTGAATGAATTGTTTATTATTTACAAGTATTTATTATGATTTTAAGCAATGAACGACAAATAGGGCAATTTATCATTTGTTGTATTTATAATTTATATGTTAATTCCTGCATAATGATGTAATTATTTATTGATGTTTATAATGGACCAACATATTCCATCATCGTCATCATTGATTAATCTGCATGTTGAAAGTGTCAACTGTACACTCTTAAGTATATTAGACACTTAATAATTAGTGGGGTGGGGGGGGGGGGATGGTCGAATGGTTAGCACATGCGCGTTGTATCATAAGGTCTGTATGTGGCAAGGAGTAGTCCAACCTTGTGGGGTTTTTCCGGGTCCTCTGGTGTCCTCCTAGTTTGTGTCAAATGGATGTTAAACCCCATTTCTCTATCATTAAATAATTATTGTTTGAGAAGTTTTAGAGTTTTACACTGCTCACTATTTTATTGTAGAAACACTACTACTACTACAATATCTACTAATTGTTAAGCTGAATTTTGAAATATGTAAAGAAAAATTATTTAGATGTATCTCAAAATGGAACCATTCACTTGGAATAAATTATTTGAGTTGATGACTGTCATGTTAGTAAGAAATCTGTCCATTTTTCAAACATTTTATTTAACAACAATTCTAATCTTCATGTTATGTTATTTCATTTTTCATGTCAATTGAAATGTGAAAATCATTGTAAAAAGATGACAAGAAGATAGATGTTGAACCTCTGGCTTTGTCAGTCCACGATTTAACAAAGTTTTCAACATTTAATTATTTTACCTGTTAACAAATCAAATAGAGATCAGTGGTGTCATTAATCTCAACTTTAAATGAACTGAGTTATTTGATAAAGTGAGTTATTTGATAAAGTGAGTTATTTGATAAAGTGAGTTATTTGATAAAGTGGGTTATTTGATAGAGTGAGTTATTTGATGAAATGAGTTATTTGTTAAAGTGAGTTATTTGATCAAGTTATTTGATGAAGTGATTTATTTCATAAAGTGAGGTATTTGATCAAATGAGTTATTTCATAAAGTGAGTTATTTAAACACTTGTTAACAGTATTTGAGAAACTGGTTATATATAATTTACACAGCTTGGTTATAATCAAACCTCATACAGGGAGGAGTATGATTCATGTTTTGTGTAGTTTTTTTGTTGAAAGAATAAACTTTCAGACCCCTTTCAGGAACTATATGTTGTTATAAAATCAAGTGTTATAACTCTAAAATTAAATACCGGTACATGCTCAAATTCAAATAAATTATTATCACCTTGCGTTCCTTTAAACTCCATCCACAGTTCATTTATTTTACAGTTTATGTAATATCTAACCTAGTCAACATGGAAGCTAATTGTAATTTTGATGTATATGAGGTTGGGTTTTAGATAATTCTCTTCAATGATCAGAATCCTGGTTGTTTGTGCTGAAATGCTGCTAAGTTCTAGTTTATTACTTGAAATTGGTGGCAAGAAGACAATAATTGTAATGTCATACATGTTGTTATAAAGTTTCATGACGTTTCTCAGTGCCGATTGTTTAGTACTGAGGTTTATCATGACGTTTCTTAGTGCCGATTGTCAAGAAGTGAGGTTTAGAAGATTGCTTACAGAAATACAAGTTGTTGATAAAATATAGAGCCTGAATGAAAGTAATACGAGTTGTTGATAATAATATAGAGTCTGACCTGAATGAAAGTAATATTATTATTATTCATGTATATTGTATTTCATTTAGTATAAAAACATCATTGGTATTAAATTATCAGATCTCTACTCAAATCATTTGTTTTTATTTTATTTACATCTCCTGGACCAGAAAGACGGATATTATTTCTGTTTTATAGTTTGAACTAAAATAATATATACCTACATTGAAAGTCAAGTGGTATCTCCAGAGACTGTAAACACACAGGACAATTCTAGAGAATTACTGTTTAATACAGAATGACAAAGACTAGAGAAACCCAGTTGAAACTTTACTCGATGATAAATGGTAATCAAGTACCCTTGCTAATTTATCGTTCTTATTGTAAGTGGATGCAGAAGAAGAATTTTTCTTAGTTTTATTCATGTTACATTGTGTACATTTTACAAGTCTTGTTCATGTTTTTTTAATTTGTTACACAGTAGTGTCAAGGTTTGTGTTGACTTTTGCGAGAAACAGCGATCTAGAATTGCGAAAGAGTTGGGGGACTGTTTTAAGCGTATTTCTACAGGTGCAAGGGTTTGTACCATCCAAACGACTAGTAATAAGGGAGCCCCATGTTATAATTACATATTATATTACTGTTATATATGCCTGTGGTTTGGTGGCTAAATACATGCGTGTTAGATCACAAGGCCTGTCATCGAGAGCGTTGATCATAAGGTTGTCATTGAGGCAAGTGTCGTGGTTTTCGTCTGATCAATCTCGTGGGTTTACTCCGGGTCCATCAGTTTCCTCCTGCTAAAGACCCCCTTCTCCCCCTCTCTCTGCTAAATTTGCAGTGATTAATTCCGCGATGAAGGATACTGCTTCTAAAAACGTTGAATCATGGCTGGAGATGGTGTATCTTCAAAACATAACGATTTATCATAATTCAGAAACAAAACCTTCAGAGAATATATTTTTTAATCCGTTTTCAAAAATTACATGTTGGCCCTTAACGTGCTTAAACATAATTATATGTAATACTATTTGCATTGGTTTACATGATTCTATGGTATTATGACGTACTTTGAACAGTTGGGTTATAACTTGATGGAAACATTCGAACAATTTCAAGCTGTACATATGACAATATGACATATGACACAGATCCTATTTCGTTTCGTTTTTTATAGTTTAAAATTTCGTTTAACTTGTCTTCACAACACTAGGATCTGGAAGAGTTGTTATATAACCCGCGCTCTGGATGATGTGAGGGATTAGCCAATGAAACGGTCTGTTACAGCAAGTTTTTGGCGTGAGGTGCACCGAACTGTGGGTAACCCACTAGAAACATCAACTCTGATTGGTTAATCAAATGTTTGACGTCATAGAAAAAAAGGCTCGTATGACCTCTGACGCGACCATCCACTACAACTGGTCAGATATTCATGTAGTGAAGGCCATCAAAAGTATAAAAAACGAAACGAAATATAGATCTTTATTTTAATCAATGGTGAACCATTTCAAGGTCACCCATTTGGGCAATGTCCCTTTAATATAACAGATATTTAAGCATCCACTATGTGGGACTATTATTTCAATCCCAAGCTAGTTTCGTCTGCCCAATCTCGTGGGTTTTCTCCAGGTCCCCTTCCACTGCTAAACAAGCGATTTATTGAAATAAAATTGTAGACCTACAATATGGTAGTCCCGAAATGACCTAGTTGTCGAGCGGATATTAATTTTTATTTTCTCTCGCTTTTATAATAGGCCTATTGCGACAGATGCCTTCAGATGTACGTAACGATAATTTGACATTGTGAGGATCATTCTAGGGATATTGAAATTTAAAGAGTTAAACCCACTCATGATATGTCAACCCTATTAATTAAATAAAAGTCAATGTCCGCCATTATCAAAACAATATACATGTAATATAATTGATTATTTTTGTATTTAGTCCTAAACAAGACAATAACAATTTTCACAAGAACATTAATAACAATTTTATCAACATCAATAACTTATTTCACATAACAAATAAACAACAACAATTTAAATCAATTTATAGACAATACATTCTTCTTAATCATAAAAAATGTGTAAAAATGCATCTTAAAATTGGCCGTAAAGTAATACATAATATCATTATTATTTAAAAAACGCCATTATTTAAATTTCGTTCCGTTTTATTTCTGATGATGTATAGTGTAAAAGTCAGGAAAAAAACGAAACGAAATTGTAATCTAATTTTAATTATAAGTTGCCCTTGGTAAGAATTGGGCAAATGTCTGTAATTGAACGCCAGATCATCTAGGAATACGACATTTATCACCGCACCGTACCGCGGTTAAATGTTGTTTAGTGGACCGAGAGGTCAGCTAATGGTTCACTTATAGGCCGACCACTTAGACGTTGCAATTAATATTTCAACTTGTACTTCTTTACAGAATTGTGTGATCGACTCCTCATTGGAGAATAACTAATCATGTCCAGTTGAATGACTAAATCTATCTTGTCGAATGTCTGAATGCATGATACCGCTTCCATAAAATAATAAATAAAAAAATACATGCAAGCTTTATACAGTTGGTTGTGTTTACTTTCAATTACTATAATATTTGAATAATATTTAACTTTACCCGATTAGAAATAATATCAAATAATTTAATAATAATTTAAACAATATAAACTGTAGCCTCTATATTATTTACAAGTGGACTGATAATATACATGATTTATTTGTTTATATACAAGGGTTATATTATTGTTTATGTACATGGGTTAGGGTTATGGTTAGGTTTAATGTCATGTACAAGCTGTATATCCATATTTACACGCTTATGAAAATAAATACAAACCGGAATCCTGCTGAATTCGTGTTATGTTGTGTATTTGGTAATTACGACTTTCCGAATGGCAAACTACCACTGTAAAATATATTAACACCCGACTTTCCAAGTTGATTATTCGGTGATTACGACTTTCCCAATGGCAAACCACCACTGTAAAATATATTAACACCCGACTTTCTAAGTTAATGAACATGACCGTGATTCTAGGACAATTTTGTCGAGTCAGTAACCAGTAATCACCGTGATTCTTGTGGTGTTTTTGAGTCAGTAATTCGTAATCACCGCGAGTCTCATGAAATATTCGAGTCCGTAACTTATAATCACCGTGATTCAAGTTGTATTTTTAGTCAGTAACTCGTAATCATCGTGATTCAAGTTGAATTGTAGTCAGTAACATGTAATCATCGTGGTTCTAACGATATTTTCGTGTCGGTAACTCGTAATCACCATAATTGAGTTGTTTTCGCGTCGGCAACATATTGGAATGAAGCATTAGTGAACTATTTAACAAACCAGCTTACCAGAATAAAGGTTAATTATAGAGTTTATGACATACACAATTAAAATGTCTTTATCTTTAATAACATGACAAAAGTCTTTACATTAAAATAGTAGACATTTTTGACTTTTAAAATCTATGTGATAGATCAGACTTGTAGTGCCTTTTGTTGGGATTTTCATGAACGGCTTCATTTCATGGGAATACCAACATAAAGTTGTCCAATAAATGAGAGTCAAAAGGTAGTTTGAAATAAAATTATAATCTGAATTGCCAAAATTTAAATCCAGATATAAAGTTATTTCTTGACCTGTTATCTATTAGTTAATAATAATAATTATAATCTATTTATAAAGCGCTGAATATCCAACAAACTGGTTGCTCAAGAGCGTTAATATCGGTTCCTACCAAAACCAACACTCTTGATCTGTTACCTATAAGTTAATATCAACTCCTACTAAAACCAACACTCTTGGTCTGTTAGCTATAAGTTAATATCAATTCCTACTAAAACCTACATTCTTGATCTGTTATCTATAAGTTAATATCAATTCCTACTAAAACCAACATTCAATAAAAGATAAAGTACCTATATTGGCATATATTGCATGTAGCCATTTTGTGAGTTAATCGGGTGATTGTATCTTATTTTAGAACCTATATCTTGTTTTAAAACAATTTAAAATCTTAAGTTATGCTGGTTTAAGCTATCTTTCTGTTTGTGTGTTAGGATTTTTGTAATTTACTAGGAAAATATTTGATCTCTGGACCTCCAGTGACTATCGCCGTTGGCACCCATGTATGCTGGCCACTCTTGTTTATTATATGGTAAAACGCGGCTACATCTCTTTTTTCCAGTCTTTATTTCTGTCGTATTACTACAGCTACATTTTATACGTAATCTGAAATATAAATATGGACTCAACGTTAATTAATTATACATCAGACATGAATTACAATTTCGTTTCGTTTTTTTTTCAGTCTTTTTCAGAACAAAAACAGAAATAAAATCAAAAGAAATTGGCATCTGATTTTTATGAGATTAAGTGAGGGAAAAATTGATTGTTCATTGGAATAAAACAACACCTGTAAGATTTTCAATTAAAATTAAAGATACATTATGGGGGAGTAGATAAAGAGCTGGCAGTTCTCACTATAATTGTAAAAAACTAGATATTGTAAAGGCAATTTCTGCAAATTTCTGTCAAATTGATCCACCCTGAACCGAGTATTTAGCGATTCAAATTTGGGCCTAGCCTCGATCATCATTACTAAAGTCAGTATCGTAAAAAAAAACATAGTTTCGATTATCCACTTTTTGATTTAATCAGAAGCAGCAGACCGGGTTCTAATCAAGTAAATATCGCAGGCTAGCGATGACATCTAGAGTTGATTATGGTCTGGATAAGATAATTAATGTCTAGTTTATAATTTAGATAATATTTCAGACCCAAAGAAAGACCTGTAATTGGCAGATTTAGCTATTGCATAATGTATGTTAAATGGAGTCATGGAAGATATATTTTCAGTCAATGGAACAATTTGATTTTGTGTACAAGGTCGAGTCTTTAGATATATATGTAGGTAGCAGCAGCATGGGCAGCCTGGACCGTGTTAGTTTGTCTGCATATAACCATTTTGTGATGGTTCAGACGCGTTGGGAAACATACGGAAAGCGACGACGAAGGTGTGAAAAGATAGCCATGAAATTAAATGAGGTTAAACGTCCTACAGCAAATGGACCTACTCTTATTTTGAATTCCAACTGTTAAGGGTTTTATTTACATGTACTCCAACAAGTACACGGGACCTCGGTTTTTTGCTCCATCCAAACAACTAGATGCCATTCCTTCCAGACCCAGCGTCCTATACCACTGAGAAGCGGAAACCACGGTTGTATCAAATTGACTCGGGAACCCACATTTGCTTGGAAATGAAATGAAATGGGGTTTAACGTCCTACTGTTCTGCTCCGAACTGAGCTAATGAAGACGGACATACGCCATACAGTGTGCTATGGGGGAAATTTTATGGAAATACCAACATAAAGTTGTCCAATAAATGAGAGTCAAAAGGTAGTTTGAAATAAAATTATAATCTGAATTGCCAAAATTTAAATCCAGATATAAAGTTTTATTTCTTGACCTGTTATCTATTAATTAATAATAATAATTATAATCTATTTATAAAGCGCTGAATATCCAAATTTTGCCCGGACAGCGGCACTATGGTCTACTCTTATATCGAATTCCAACTGTCGAGGGATCTCTTTCGTCCCATCCGAACGACTTAACAGCTGTCCTTGTCAGGCCCTCCGTCCTTATTTGCTTGGAATGTAGATTCTAATGATATTAGACTATAGGTTGTATCAAAATGACTTGGAGACCCCCATTCGCGTGGAATGACCTACACTTGTATGTGTAGATGCTAATGATATTGTTTGAAATGACCTACACCTGTATGTGTAGATTGTATTTATTAAAAGAAAGTAATGATATTAAACCTGTAAATTGTTAATTGTCCCATATGAACGTTGTAAGGATTAAATCCTGACTGACTCTGATATATATGACCATCATCATCATCATCCACTGCATTACCAGATTTATGGATACATTCCTGTACAATAGCATCTTCATAGGCATCGTGATCCATTCCATAATATTTACCTGAAATAAAAACCCCAATCAGTATTAACCCACTCATAGTAAATAGGGGGAATTCTGCCCGGAGAGCGGCACTATGGTCCATTCTTAATTAAATTTCCAACTTCAAGGGCTCTTTTTCAACTGGCGTGGCTTCGATTCCCCGGTTGTACGTGACAAAGCTTAGGGTCGCATGTCTAACCTCGTGGGTTTTCACCGGGCCCTCCGGTTTCCTCCCACTGCTGAAGACCCCTACGCGCAAGCGAATTATAGAAATAAAATTAAACCATATGTTAGTCCTGAAATGACCTAGTTTGTGTCGAGGGCTCTTTTACCTGCACGCCAACGTGTATACTGGATCTCGAATTCTTGTCCTATCCGAACGACTAAACGCTGTTCCTTGCTAGGCTCTCTCTGGGAAATCAACCAGGAAAGTCCGGGGAGTGTTCTCGGCTAACACAGCACTCACTGAATCACCGCGACTTACTGAACCAACTGGACAAAAATATGCTCGGCACAATTTATAACAAATCTAATCTAAAGATATTACTTACTTGTTGGTTGTGTTCGCTCAGCTTCTTTTGAAAGTTTATCAGCTATACATTTCTGGTCTTCAGGCAAAATAGCTTGTGTTTTGGCGGGAAAGAACCAATACGTGCCAAAAACAACATCTGCAGTTTGATTATAATCCGGGTGATCAACCGGAAGTGTTGACGGAGCTACCGTTCCCGTAGAAATGAGTCGCTGCAGCCCATCATCGTCATGAGGTCCAACATGGCGACGCTTTCGATCATTTGAAAAATTATTTTTGTTATCTTTTAAAAACTTTTCTACTAATTTTCTATAATGATCTGGATTATTTTTGTGGATTGCTCGTTTTTTCATTGCTATAGGATCTACTTCCATAGCTTTAGAACGTTTATGTGTCAAATAACGGTCGTTATAGTAACCGTCATCATTATTTTCACGACTGTCATAGTCAGGATTTGCTTCCCCGTTGCTATAGTAATTAGAAAATGGCGACTGCATATCGTATGGATACCCTGGAACATGTGGATTATCTGGTCGACCCCTTTGACGTTGCCGATACCCTGGTTTATTAGGACCGTGATTTTGTTGATATCTGACTCTTTGTTGATTGTTATTGTATTGTCCAGGACGTTGGTATTGTTTTCGCCCTCCCATCTGCATATTTGGTGGACCTTTCTTCCCACTGGATGTTCTGGTACCAGTCTCGGGAACGAGTCTTCCGCTTTCTTCAGTGTTGGTATTTCTCTAAAAGTAAAAAGAAGCAGCATTGCCAAGTATTCAGATTTTCATATTTTCTTTCAACCACAAACATTTATAGGTTGAAGGGACGTTTTGTCCACAGGGGTTAAGTATGTCCTAACTGGTGCTTATAGGAGTCAACTGGTTGGGTTACAACCATCCGCGGCTCTAACGGCCTACATTCACACATAGGACTAAAATCAAGATAAAAATTGTAGTATATAAAAATGCCGGTTATAAAAATGACATCGATCCGTGGTAAATCTATACAGGAAAGGCCACAGACGTACCTGTAAGCAATGTATCTTTCAGATACATACGATCTAATGAAAATCAAATCTTTATTTCGTTTGGTGTTTATAATTTTGTACATACGTTCTAACACGTCTTCACCACGACGGTTGTTCAGATGGCTTACTCAGCCGTGTTAACCTCTCCCCCAAATTCTTAAACCTAACCCTGTACGAGTGTGGGACAGCGTGAAAATATTATATCTAGATAAGTAGACGTCCGATTATAGATCTGTATTATCGGACAACCTTGAAAAAGACAACCTGAAATCCTCTATAGTCTGGTCCAGATAGCAATCTCCAGTCCATACTACAGTGAGGCTGCGGGCTATCAGCTGTTGTCTGGCCACCAGCCTCACACAAACTTCTGAAATCCTCTACAGTCTGGTCCAGATAGCAATCTCCGCTCCATACTACAGGGAGGCTGCGGGCTATCAGCTGTTGTCTGGCCACCAGCCTCACACAAACTTTCATCAATTGATAAACATATCAGTGGACGACGATGTCCGTAGCGTACAGACTCGATGAATGTTAGTGAGGCAGAACCCGAAATGCCCGAGAAAATTCCGGGTCACCGACGGCGAAGCCGGTCATTTGCAAGAGGCGAAGGAGCGGAGCTTACTGAAAAGTAAGATTGCCTAAAAGTTAGGGGGTGGGGCAGTTTCCCGATAGCTCGTGCGCCTATGTGATATGGTGACGTATTTTGAAGGACTGTATTTCCATTGGCTATTAACAGTACACACGTGAAAACACGACATGATGATAACACCGAATGGTCCGGATTGTTATCTCCGGTCTAACCTACAGCGACACTGCGAGCTACGACGTCTAGAGGATCAGTTTTCGTCTGGTCACCGGTCTCATTGAGACTTTGGCGAGTTTAAAATAAAATCGAACCCGATAAATTACGGAAAATAAAACAAAAACGGGTTGGACAAAACTTCTAACTTTTAATGAGTTTGGGATAAATAATACACTGACCTGATTAGTTTCCACATCTTCTGTTTTAGTTTTTCTCTCTTTACTTGCATAATGATCATAGGCCTTGAGATGTTCTGGATGTGTTCGAACGAAATCTATTGCTTCTAATGTTGTATTTATCCAATAGGCGTGCTCTACAACCGTTCTGTCCTCTAAAATATCAATATTTCTCTCAATACATAAATATATGAGAATCGTCGGTTTACGAGAAACGTGACGATTTGTTTGGAAGAAGAATGAACGGATACTATTCCTTATAATTAAAACAAATACAATACTTTTTAAAATCGTGATCTGTTGATAGAGAAAGAAACAGGAATGGTGAGAACATAAGAAAAAGTTACCCCACAACAGACAATATCTACATGTGTAAGATTATATTCCATTCCTATAATAATCAGGCACAAGAACATGTTTCTTTCATACCCGAAAAATACAGTCACAAGGACATGCGTCATTCATGCCTGGAAAATACACGTTACAGGGACACGTGTCATTCATACCTGGAAAATACACGTCACAGGGACATATTTGATTCATACCTGGAAAATACACGTCACAGGGACATGTTTGATTCATACCTGAAAAATAGACTTTAGTTCCCGGTACTTTCATATTACCATTCAAAGCTAACATCTTTGTAAAACCCTTCGTTTTAAATCGCAATCGACAAAAATCTGCTCGGCTTTGTTCATGGACGTTTGTTCCTGTAATATTAAATATATCTTATTTCAGTTTGTAAATGTAAATATTTATCAATAAACCGGATTGTGTGGTTTGTCATCCTAATTTCGTCATCCCGACTGTCTCCCGGGGATTTTCTAGAGTGGTTTCCGAATGGTGCAGTACGGAGGACCTGTCACAGAGAAAACCCGTGAAGTTGGACAGGCGACCCTACTTGTCATATACGCCAGTTGACTCAATGACAGACCTTATGATACAGCGCGAACGTGCTAACCATTCGGCCATCCAACCCCTCGTCAAGGAAGAGAACATTGGTCTGAGTTTAAAATAGCGAAGTAATATGTTACCTTTAACAAAATCAAAAACACCCCCTTCTCCTTCATGTTCAATACAATCAGCGATCCAGTAGAGGAAGAGATCGTTTCCTCTTCCCTCTACACTCACAGTTATAGCTGAAGCCTGAGCTCCTACACCATCTCTTACAAATGGTGTAATCATTGGTTTACCAGTACGTCCATCTAATACAGTTGTCTGTAAAAATAAATATAAACATACTGATCATCTACTGATATTCAAATACATTTCACAAACGATTTGATTTCTTCCAAACATAAAAGACGACCCCAAAAGATTTCATGTTTTTATCTCCCTTGATATTTGTCACGTAGAAGAAACATAATTGGACACCTTTATGTATTGCCCCCCCCCCCTCGCCACCCACACACACACACACACCTCCCGCACAACTTCAACTCCATACAGCTAACAGATTTAATTTGTACAGGTATTCAAGCCTGATTGTATTTCAATGGAGCGGTATTAAACTTTTTTTCTATGCTATAACTTTTATCATTTTGAGACTAACATCTGTTTAAAATTTACGTATACGGTCATCGATATATCCGCCATTCTCTTCATCGAATTTTAATCTCATTTACTACACGCCAATATGTTTACGAGTGAACATCGGATTTACGTCCCATCTGAAGGACTAAACAACATTTCACAAGTAGGACCCACACTGGGTTAGGTACCCGGGCCATTCTGGGTGAGAATCATGATGTCTAACCGCTTGCTTACACCCCAAGTATAAGTACTTCTATTGACCATACACTGGTCATTCATTAATGGAGAGATAAATATGACTTACACCCAACTACCACTGGTCATTAATGAAGAGATAAATACGACTTACCGTAGCATTATAATATATAGGATAACCTGGTCCAAACGCGTATTTAACCATAAAATCAGGAACATCATCATCATTATAATAACCTACTGATGGTGTGCTGAAAATATAAAAATACAACAGTCAGGTTCAATATAACAATATAACAATACAACAGCCTGGTTCAATATAAAATATAACAATACAACAGACTTGTTCAATATAAATTATAAAAATACAACAAACCGGTTCAATATAACAATACAACAGCCTGGTTCAATATAACAATATAACAGCCCGGTTCAATATAACAATACAACAGCCCGGTTCAATATAAAATACAACAACACAACAGCCCGGTTCAGTATAAATATAACAATACAACAGCCCGGTTCAGTATAAATATAACAATACAACAGCCCGGTTCAGTATAAAATATAACAATACAACAGCCTGGTTCAATATAAAATATAACAATCAACAGCCTGGTTCAGTATAACAATTCAACAGCCTGGTTCAGTATAACAATACAACAGCCTGGTTCAATATAAAATATAACAATACAACAAACCGGTTCAGTATAACAATATAACAATACAAGAAACCGGTTCAGTATAACAATATAAAACAACAGCCTGGTTCAATATAATAAATACTGTAAGTTTACAAGCACGGGAAGTCGGATTTCTGTATATCTCAAATATACATGTACTATTTTAATGTGAAAATTATTTATGAACTGACTTGTACGAACCCTAATCGCAGAATTATTATTACCAAATTTATTTTAGACACAATAGAAACCAATGTAAATTTTAAATGGACATTAATAAAGATGTTTGTGCTTTATCTGCCAAATGCAGATCTTTCGTTTGGCTCAAATGTTATATTAATCATTAATGAGACATTTAGTCACATGTCAAGCTTATAATTAACTCTCTAGATCATCGATGGCTGTGATTTTCAGTGGATTAAAACACGACCGCCCCTTAATAATTTAATTAAAACATGGATAATCGAGACTTATTATGGTACCAAATACAATCGAGCTACACTATTCTTCAAACTGTCATAACTTCGCTCAGAATGAAATAATTTGACTGAAATATTTAACATATTCCCTTTTCATTATCTATGTTTTAACTAGTATAGCGAGAACTTCCAGCTCGTTATCGAAATCTTAGATAATCTTAGATATGTTAGAAAGCGCTGTGAACCATAATGATACAATTTTTACCTTGCCATGAAGCACCAATTGGCTAATATTTTCTAATACGTGTACTCCGTGATATCGTGTATTAAGCGAGATTTAGGTAACAAGTAGCCTGATAGTTCACTGGGAAGAAAAACAATGGTAATCGACCAGATATTTAAAAAGCAGGTCATCTTCAGCCATTTATTTGAAACCCATGGGAGAAATGAATTCATTACCGATAATCTTTTCTGCTAACGTTATGAATAAAGCAATTTTCGGAAAACAGCCGATCGTTGAAGCAGCCAAGTTGTCTACCATGTCATGGCATTAATCTCACGTCATAAATTAAGTCTCTAGCGATATCAGTGGGTTAATTACGATACAAGCATGTCGCATTCAGGTTGTACCCCTCTCTCCATGGAACGACAGATTATTCATCTCTCTTCATGGAACGACAGATTAGATATTCACAATTACTTCAAAAAGATCCTAGAGACTCATTATCAGATATCAATATCGGAAATTTACTTTAAACGTGAGGCGAAGTCTTAAGTTGGAATGTTGAATGTCATCAAAGTGAAACAAATGTCATATATCGTTGGCAGGAGATCTTATAATAAAGATTTATTATATTAGATTTAGATAAAGACCGGGTCATTTTTGTTATAATAATTCCAAAACATTTAATGAACAATAAGTTATAAATGTCTTCTTCTGTCGGGTTTCACAAATCACCGGGGGATCTAATTAAAATTGTATTACTTTTTTTAAATTCAAATAAAACATTTAATTTATACGAATACCGGTAGAATAAACTATGTGTGTGGAATAGCTTTATTTAACGTTCGCTTCCACCGAGGTGATATCGCAGACAATTACATATTATATGTACAGAGTGAAATTATTTACACGGCGATTAGCGAAAGGATTATTAAATATTTATATATAGAACGAGTAGAAGAATTAATGACGTCAGGATAACAGTTATATAACAAGTGCTAAAACGGAAGTGCTAATGATAGTGACAAACAAAGCCATTTTACAGACAAAAAGCTCTGTTGACGTCATCAGGCTCTGTGACTGACGTCATGTACTTTCGGAAAATTTCGGCATGGGTCAGTCATATTAGCGTTTCAGGCAGATATAGCGGGCATTGTCTAATCACTTAATTTAATATCCAAGCCATCCGATGTTCTGGAGAGTTGATTATCAGATTGTCATGTAAATGGTTTTTTTTTAATTTTTTTTTATTTTTAACAAAATAACCTACATAATAACATTTTTAGCCAGAAAAACGCCCCGCAATAGGCAAATTATCTCTCGCATAATGCTTCTTTGAAGAAAGAACTAGACATTGATTTATTTTCCAGCCCCATAAAGCAGTTACATATTTAAAGGGTCGATATGTATTGTATATTATTTGCAGCCAATGATATTTTTTTATGCCATACGAATTATCAAACCGATCACTTAATTAACCACGAGGGGATATATTTAATGAAATGGGGTTTAACGTCCTACTGTTCTGCTCCTACTGCGCTAATGAAAACGGGCTATAAGGGAAATGTTCCCCGGGCAGCGGCACTATGGCATGACTCTTATATCGAATTCCAATTGCCAAGGGATCTTTTATGTGCAAACCAATGTATACACGGATCCTTGTTTTTTCGTCCCATGCGAACGACTACACAGCTTTCCTTGTCAGTCCCTCCGACAAGGCGAAACCACGCCGGAAAATCCCGATGAGCAGGGATCGAACACGCGACCTCAGGCTAGCAAGCCAGCGTCTTACCCACTTAGCCACCGTGGCTAGTATATCTAATGATGTGAATTTAAAACGATGAACTACTTACGCATATGATTCTGATTCAGGGAAAGTATAGTTCCATAACATCTCATATGTCTTTCCATCAATGGCGAGAACTGTCGAATTAAACATGGCAATAACTATATCTTCTATACCATCATGTGTTAAATCTATCAGGGCAGGTGGTGTCATCACACCTTTCAGATTATCTGTATAAATTCTTGCTGCCTAAAAAAACAATTAACATCTTGCGAATACGGGTAATGAGTGTCCAGATAAACACGACTAAATGGTCACCCAGACACTATTACTCGTGCAAGTTTGAAAACGTGTTCTGAATTGGACATGGCAACATGGGGGGACCGGTGGTCGAATAATCTAACGCGTGCGTTTAGATCATAAGTTCTGTGAAGTCGTGTGGGGAGGATTCGATCTCACTTGTATATTAGTAGGGTCGCCTGCCTAATCTCATGAGTTTTTTCTGCCTCGTCCAATTTTCTCTCATGGCTAAAGATCACAAAAACGCAAGCGAAGTATTGAAATAAAAAAGTACCATATTATGCTAGTCCCGAAATGACATAATTTTTATTTAGTTGGCGTTGAATGAACGTTAACCTTCTCCCCCCCCCCTCTCTACAACCGTCTCTCACTCTCAACTTTATCTAGATGACTTTCATTGTACATGCTCTTACTTTATCTAGATGCTCTTACTTTATCTAGATGCTCTTACTTTATCTAGATGCTCTTACTTTATCTAGATGACTTTCATTGGGCACCCTTCAATGTACATGCATCTATTATGATCTTCACCAATCTGATTAAAACACAGATTTCGTTTCGTTTTTTTATAGTTCAAAATTTAGTTTTACTGATCTTCACAACACTGGGATCTGGAAGTATTGTTATATAACGGGCGTTCTAGATGATGTGATGAATTAGTCAATGAAACGGTCTGTTACGGCCAGTTCTTAGTGTGCTCTGCACGGAACTGTGGGTAAACTCCTAAAAACGTCACAGCTGATTGATTAATCAATGTCTGACGTCATCGGGTCTAAAGCCTCTCTAATGACCCCTGACGCGACCTTTTACTACAACCGGTCAGATCTTCATGTAGTGTAGGCCATCAAAAGTATAAAAAAAAAACGAAACGAAATATAGATCTATATTTTAATTAGATTGTGATCTTCACTGACCTTCATTACACAAATGTCAACCGTTGTTTACTTACTTTATCGATATGACCTTTCTGAAGATCGTGTAGACCAATACTCCAGAGTGAACCACCATGAGTCTCACCACCAGTACCAAACAAAACAACCTCAGTACCGTCCTCTTGTAGATAAATCTGTGGTGAATAGTAGGCTTCCTTATTATCAGGAACTCCAATTTCTCGTAATACTTTACCAGTTTTACCACTAAAGAACATTAATTTACCAGATAATCTGAAAGCACTGTCTGAAATAACAAATATTATTCATTCAAATTTCATAAGGTATATTAAACAGGTGATAGCGTCCTCAGTAAGAAGAAGGGGGAGGGGGAGTGTCGGATGGTCGAATGGTTAGCACGTGCAAGTTGTATCATAAGGTCTGTCACTGAGTAAAATGGCGTGGTTACGATTCCCCGGTTGTACGTGACAAGGAGTAGGGTCGTCTGTCCAACCTCGTGGGTTTTCTCAGGGTCCCCCGGTTTCCTCCAACTGCTAAAGATCCCGACGCGCAAGCGAATTATTGAAATAAAATTAAGTCCCGAAATGACCCAGTTTGTGTCGAGTGGACGTTAAACACCCATCTCCCTCTCCCTCTCTCTTTCTCTCTCTCTCTCTCCAGTAAGAAGAAAAAAAAATGTAGTTAATTTCATCACATTGAAATGCTAGTTGCCTGACATTATAATTCCTACAGGGACGATTTTAGTCGGAAACACTAGGTACACTTTGAGAATTTTAAGCAGTATTTATTCTGCTTCCATTTTCGAATCGAACACAGGCCACTTGACTCAATGACAGATCTTAGACCATCTACCCCCCTCTAAAAGAGAAGTTCAATATGTCAAAGTGTATACATTGATGTCAGTATATCTAAATATATTTATCTAAAATCAGCCGAATTAGCCCAATTAGATTGTTTGAAAATTCCAAATCAAAATATTAAACTATTCGGAAGTGATCGTTATTTTCGTTCAATAGTGTGGCTGATTATCTCAGCTATCATATTGACCAACAATAATGTTTATATGGTTATTTGGCCCCACTTACATACCGCGAAATTAGGGTACTTATCGCCAACCTCACATGGAACTCAAGAGTTTGTATTAAATTTTCTTTACAAATTTATCATATAGAAGAGAATATCCGGTGCTGACGTTTGCCGTTTCCACATCAGAAGCCAACCAAACGCGACCATCACCCCGCCAAATATAGAAAAAGAAATGTTTAAAACTAATATATTTTTGCAATCTGATTAAAATACAGATCTGTATTTCGTTTCGTTTTTTTATACTTTAGTTTGCATACACTACATAAAGATCTGATAAGTTATAGTGAGATTTCACGTCAGGGGTCAAACGAGCAGCTTTTGACCCTATGACGTCAGATATTGATTAATCAATCAGCGTTGACGTTTCTACTGGTTTACCCACAGTTCCGTGTATCAAAAGGCCAAGAACTCGCCGTAACAGACCGTTTCATTGGTTAATTCCTCACATCATTCAGAAGACATCAATGATAACAACTCTTCCAGATCCAAGTGTAGTAAAGACAAGTAAAATGAAATTTTGAACTATAAAAACGAAACGAAATAAAATCTGTGTTTTGATCAGATTGATATTTTTGGTTTCAATTTAAACAGTTTCCAGTAGATGAGAATCTTTTATTAAACAATATAAGCACAGATCTGCATACAGGAATACATCTACATAACCTACTTGGACTCTGTAATGGATCACCACCATGTACAGCAAATATATCCGGTACAGAATCACCATCCATATCACTCACATACTGGGCTGTGTATAAATTCATTATACTATTTTTAGGATCGGAATCTCCAAATCTCCATAGTAACTTCCCCTCTTTACCACTTATAGCATCAAAAACCTATAAATAGAACATGGGAAACTAACAATTTACCCTTTTTAGAGCCTACAGCAAAAACCTATAAACAGAACAAGCAGAGTAGAAAATACTACACCCTTTACCTTCCCCCTCCCCTACCTTTATTATCAGAGCACAATACGTGTTCCTCTATAGAGTCCCCAATATAATATTTAGAAAGTTAAAAGATGACGTATCAGGACGGATCTAGGAATATTTACAGGAGGGGGTTTGCCAGGTTCCTGTTGAGGAAATTTGCCTGGTGACAATGCATGATGACATTATCGTCTCTAAATTACGTAAGCATACATAGTACATACATACACATTCAGCTTTTTAAACAGAGAAATCCAACACCCCGTTTGATGTCAATTTTTATTATGAATTGATAGGATCACATTGTGATTCAATTTCATTGATGCAAAGCATTAATTATGATATCACATATGTCTATATAATTATCTCACGCCTTGAATGCCCATCCCATCCCACCATCTGATGATAAAGGGACAACGCACACGACCTTGACACTTTTCTCATAAAAAGTGTTGTTTTACATTTGTTTTATGTCGCTGAGCAGTCCCCCCCCCCTCTCCCCCTGGATCCGCCCCTGACTTTCACCAGCGCATCCACTTCCATAGCTTAAAATAGCAGCTGTATGGTGCGTAAAATAGAAAACTCAATTTGGCGTTCCAAATAGTGTTATAAAAAATAAGTCTATACAAGAAACGCAAACTGACAATTCATCAGAATCATTTATTTAAATAAACCGACTATTTTTGTGCACGAAGTAAGTCATTAAGATAAAAGACACATCTGTTTCTTGGATAAAAAAAACCCCCAATCTCTGTTTTTATTTACTTAACATTTACAAGAGTTTTCAATTGGTAGACTCGAATTCTTATCACTTTATATTTATGGCAGTCTTTCTCTTGTTGTTTTTTAGTTTTGTCTAGAAATTCAATTCACAGTATGCTATCACGCGAGATAAATCCGTGCAAGCTATTTTCATATCTGTATAAATGATTAGTCACAAAGAGTGTTTTTTTTTTCATTCAAGTGTTATTTGTAAGGGAAGACAGCCCCAGAGCAATAAGTTAAACTTGTTATAAATAAATATGACTGAAAACCGGATAAAGATTTTCACAGTTTTCCATTTAGTTAACCTTTATATAGAATAAATCTGACAGAAACTCGGATACAGTTTTCCATAATGACCTGGGGGATTGGATGACCGAATGGTTAGTGCGTGCGTGCGTGCTGTATCACAAAGTCTGTCATTTAGTCAGCAGGCGAGGTTTCGAATCCCCGGTTGTACGTGACAAGGAGTAGGGTCGCCTGTCCAACCTCGTGGGTTTTCTCCGGGTCCTCCGGTTTCTTTCCACTGCTAAAGGCCTCTACGCGGATGCGAATTATTGAAATAAAATTAAAACCATATGTTAGTCCCGAAATGACCTAGTTTGTGTTATTAAACGCCATTTCTCTCTCTCCCATAATGGCCTCCCTCTCTATCTCTCTCTCTCTATGTCGCTCTGCTCTAGCAACTTTTGAGAAAACTTCGATTTTCTAGTGGTGATTACCATAATAAATCATTTCTGTGTCAGATTGTTTCAATCTTTAGACCCTCTACATGTTAGTCGAGTCACACATTGACGTATACTGGACGTGGCTTTAATGGGGGTAAACGAAATTTTGCCCGGGAAGCGGCATTAATTTTGCCCGGGCAGCCGCACTATGGCCTACTCTTATATCGAATTCCAACTGCCAAGGGATCTTTTATGTGCACGTCAATGTATACACGGGACCTCGGTTTTTCGTCCCATCCGAACGACTCGACAGCTGTCCTTGCCAGGCTCTCCGTCCTGCATCACTGACAAGGGGAAATCACGTCGTGTTAAAAGAACAGTGCCACGTTGAAGGTTTGGTTTATCATTTTGCCTATTTTCTGGTGCTCAATACGACCAAGTTTAGATTTTTTTAAAACGCACACCTACAACAATTATACTTACTCCTGCTCTTCCTCCTCCTAGACAATCGTTGACGCCATCTTTGTTTAAATCCACATTACAGTTTAAAGCGTACACCTCATGATTACTGTAGGTTCGCCATAATTCTTTACCAGACATCCCGTCTAAAGCCAGGATCCCGCCAAAACACGGAACAGTCCCATTAAAATAAATTTCGCACACCAAATTCGTGACATCGTAACCATCCGCTCCTATAAAAATCAATGTTGATAAATAATGATTTGTAATATCGGGTTAATTACAAACTCAACAGCAGCAAGGCGTCTTCACAAGCCCGGTTGGTGCAGAGCAAAACAGGGTGTTAAACCACCATTTTATTCATTATTAGCGCTGACAATAATACCAACGGAAATCACCTTATGTCGTATTATTATGTTAAAGATACATTATGTTAGATTTAGATAAAGAACTAGCAATTCTTGCTATAATAGTTCGAAAATAGATAGTGTAAAATGAATAATTTGAAAATTTCATTCAAATTACTCCATTGTCAGGGAAGATATCAACCACCGTACTGGTTGTTCGAAGCTAAGTCTCGCTCCTGCATTTTTAGATTAAATCAAATTATTCCCAAACCGTTCTAATCTATTTAATATAGGAGAAATCCGATGCCACCGAGAGTTTATTATGGTCTGGATAGGTTTATTAATATCTAATTAATAATTTAGATAATATTCAGGCCTAAAGAAAGACCTGAAATAGGCAGATATAGCTCTTGCATAATGTATGTTTAAACAATAATCCCCGATGATCAAGTTCTGGATTAAACCTATAGAGCCTTTATTAGCACTTCAAAGATTTTAGTGCCCACGTGATAAAGCATAAAATAAGGGTTTTTTTTTAAAATAATTTACGTAAAATTAGTTTGGAGGATCTTATCAAAGACTTTGGTATTTAAAAAATGTAAATATGTTTAAAGTCTTTGATCCGATCTTTCAAACTAATTTTACGTAACATATTTACATGGTATCCTGTCGTTCTGTTGGGAGTTTTATTATACTTCAACATAGGGTCTTTTTGTGAACCAGGTTATTTATAATTTTGCAACGTATGGCGGTGATCCATGGTAAATCCCACATTGACAATTTGTGTGTTTCCCATTCTTCCCTTGATGCCCTAAGCGCGTGCTTATTTTGATTAATGGTAAATCCAGTTCTCATTAAGGCACAACAGAAAATTGTAGATAAAGATCTAAAACAATCTACTATATAATATCTGCAACTGTCATTTGTCTGTTTGTTCGTCTGTTTGGGGTTGGCGGCCATACTAATACGGATTCTCTTGGCTGCCTTGGGGAGTGGCATAGGACTGGAGGAGTTGTCCCGGTTCAGGGTGGTGCCCTTGCCATGCTGGGTAGCACCTCACAAAATTAGCATATGATAATGCATAGCAGCCCGAGTTTAAAATAATTGCTTTTAGCTCCGTTTGAAAGTCCTGATAGTTAGGTTTTTTTTTATCTTCAATGGGGTTTCGGTGGCCGAATGGTTAACGTGTTGAGTCAAGTGGCGTGGTTCGATTCTCCGCTGTTCGTGACAAGGAGTTTGAGTAGCCTGTCTAACCTCGTGGTTTTCATCGGGTTCTCCGGTTTCCTCCCACTACTAAAAGACCCATTGAACCATATGTTAGTCCCGAAATGACATAGTTTGTATCGAATGGACTTTAACCCCCCTCTCTCTCTCCCCACTCTCTCTTTCTCCTCTCTCTTTTTATTCTCAGGTCGGTCGACGAAGTTGGAAATTCCCACTCGTCAAGTTAGACGTCACAAGAGTTAGGTTTAAGAATTTGGTAGGAGAGTTTAAACACTCGGCCCCCAACACTCCCCCCCCCCCCATCTCCCACTCCCCCCCCCCCTCCCACTCCCAAGAGGGTTTAAATCTCCACATACATCAGGCGCTGACCTAGAGGGGATCACGTGGCTAGGTGGGTAAGACGCTAGCTCGCTAGCCTGGAGGTCGGGTGTTCGATCCCTGCATTGGTCGAGAAAGTTAATCCAGATTTTCCGGCGTGGTTCTCCCTTGTCAGTGATGCAGGACGGAGGGCTGACAAGGAAAGCTGTCTAGTCGTTCGGATGGGACGAAAAACCGAGGTCCCGTGTACACATTGGCGTGCACGTAAAAGATCCCTTGGCAGTTGGAATTCGATATAAGAGTAGGCCGTTTTGCCGCTGTCCGGGCAAAATTTCCCTCATAGTACACTGTATGGCGTATGCCCGTCTTCATTAGCCCAGGTTAGGAGCAGAACAGTAGGACGTTAAACCCCATTTCATTTCATTTCATTTCGCTGACCTAGAATAATGAAAACTTCACGCGTCACGATAGTTTATGGTTCCTGGTATGTAGTGGAAATGAAATAGCACCACATAATTTAAACCGACAAATGTAATCTTTATTCGCGTCTCTGTGGAGATCCGTATAGTTATGGGATGTTGCTTATCATTTCCTTGTTTTCAAAGTTTCTTAATTGATCTCTCGGGGATTCTGTAATACTATTCACCATTCCCAGCAGACATTTATCAAAGGTGAAATATTGTATAATATAAAGGTCAAATCAAATAAGTCTTATTTACAGCTTAAATTAGAAATAAAACGGGTTAAACTTTAAGTTCGTTCAAAACAAACTATGTCATTTCGGGACTAACATGTGGTACAATTTCATTTCGATAATTCACATACGCGGAGGACCCAGAAAAAACCCACGAGGTTAGACAGGCCACCCCACTCCAGCAGATTTTGAGATTAAAATTCATTCAATATCAGTTTACTCGTCTGTGTGTTTGCTCTATATAGTTAACAAGGTTTAATCATATTCGGGGGATGAATAGCCGAATGGGTAGTACGTGTGCGCTGTATCATAAGGTCTGTCATTGAGTCAACTGGCGGGGTTTCGATTCCCCGGCTGTAGGTGACAAGGAGTAGGGTCGCCTGCCCAACCTGTGGGTTTTCCCCGGGCCCTCCGGTTTCCTCCTACTACTAAAGACCCCTAAAAACCCCATCTCTCTCTCTCTTTCTCTCTGTGTCTCTCTCTCCGTCCCTCTCTCTTCTCTCTCTCTCTCTGTCTCTCTCTCTCTGTTTAATAATTTGTGATTTTAACAGAGAATGTGGTATTATTATCTAGACATCACTTTTAGCTATATCCTCGCTCACCTGTTGGCATAGAGGTTAACGTTAATGATTTTATGTGTGTATTATACTATAATATGAACTATCAATTTTCATTTTGCTAGACTTGATAAATGATGGGAATAACAGAAAGAACCGACTGTCAACCGCCATTTTACCTCGTCCGAATCTTCTGACTTTTTCAAACCCCATGAATGTCGGCCACGGTTAAGTTCCACGCAACATCTCGCACATATACTGGCGTATCGACATCTGTCAACATAACGTTATTAAAGTTATCAAAGAGGTGTCCGGAATCCTGTTACATGTTTTAAACGTGAATTAACGTTCTAAAATATATAACCCCGACAGTAATCAGTTTAACACCTGAATACACAGGTGATAACAGCAGGTGATAACATGACCAAACCAATTACCTTTAATCGATATATGAAACCAACACAATTCACAAAGTCAACCAACATTAAGTATTCTCAAATAAATGAAAGTGGTAGAAAAAGAAAACATTTCTTACCCGGACATCGGTCATTACTAATAGCTAACCCGCAGGTGAGGCGGGGGGTGGGGGGTACAGATACGATTTCATCTGGATTTTAAGGCGTGGTTCCACCTTGTCAGTGGTGCAGGACATACAGACTGGCAAGGTACACCGAGGTGTACATATTGAACTGCACGTAATTCACGATGTAGGTCGTAACGCCACTTTCCGGTCAAAATCTTCATTATTGAAGATGAAGCAGAAAATTGGGACGTTAAACCCAAATCATTTCATACCTTTAATACATTGTACAACCTGCTTTATAACATACACACAGATATTTATCTAATTCATACTTCGAGAATAAATCTCTGTCCTGAATGGACGCCATATCCAAAAAATAGTATACTGTGTCACATCTGGCATACACACAAAGACTAAATTAACATATTTAATTTTATCAAATGGAAGCAGAATTAAAACAATATCAAATCAAAATTCTCGAGGTATACTTCGTGTTTTAGACTAAAATCGTCGATTTAGGACTTAAAATGTCAGTCAACTAGCTTAGTGTCTGTAGACAGGCTGCCTAAGTTTAGCATGACACTGCCACTCCAGGTAGAAAACTGTTACATTGGTATCAATAATAAAACAGCGATTGAATGATGACAAATTGTAAAGAAGTAGTTTCTTTCTGTATTGTTATCTATCACATGTAATAGTTGACGTGAGGATGTTGCGTGACTGTTCGTCGTTTAAGATTACCATTATTCTTGTGATTACATATCATCACAGGCTTCACAGACATATTGGATACGGTAAAAATTTTACATCATATTGATTGAATTACTACTTAAAGAGACACATACACTTTAATGGATGTCAGTTTAGGCGCAATCTGACTCTGAATGCGGTAGTCGAGTAGCCTCAACTAAAACGCGCTAGATTGGAAGTTTTTCAAGCATACATGATTAAATTATTTTGTATATCTATACGGGATTGGGGGCTTTTCTGAAAGTTAAGACTTCAAAGTCATAATATTCCAGAATAAAGAGCTCATATTGTATTTCAGTCCATGTTCAATTAAATGAAATCTGCCTTAGAGCTCCAGTCAGTCACTGGTTTCTATCCATAAACATCGAGATCAAGATAGTATCTAACCTAGATTATTTGAGTTGAGTGTCTAGACTACTATCTAAAGAAAACCTTTCAGCCCTTACTTTTGTTCAATTCAATTAAGAACAATGACTATTAGTTCCACGGAGGATTTAGGAGACGAGTATCGTCAAGACTGGTCGCATTTTGGTCTTTCATGTAAATCATTGTTTTGTTTTTGATATTGAGTGACACCTGTACAACTCACCTGGCCCTAGGATAAATTCACTTGATTTGATATTTATTGTTTAGTTCGCGTAATGTCCATGTAATTAGTTTTGTCTGCTGGTTTGTCTTGGCGGTTTTGTTTGCATATAGTGTGGTAGTCCAGGTTCTGTTTTGATTTTTTCCATGCTATCTTAAAGGACAATATTGATGCCAGTCATTATCACACAACAACTTTTGGTCTTCGAAGGAATTATTAGTGAGCAGAAATTCGGCCGTGTATCTGTTATCACTCGTCGCTTCAGTCAGTTATATAGAGCGGTGACTCGTGTTTTCCTTTGGCGTTCGTCACTTCCTATTCGGGAAACCTGTATTACTCAGCTTTCGTAGCAATTATCTCTGTGTTAAAAGTATATTTGGAATGTGTTTAACCAGCTCTAACACATATGTGATAATGACTGGCACCAATATTGTCCTTTAATAGCTTGTGGGGAATGTATATCCGGTTTGTTTTCCACGTGGTTCTCGTGTCTGTTTTACATTATCTACAATCAAATGTTTCTAGACTTAACGATACATATTTATCAACTTTCATCAACCGTGAAATTACCTTGGTTAAAATCGATGTCAAATAATATTCTGATTCCTTAGTAGTTCGTGGTCTTCAGCAGGCAGAGAGACAAGAATTGACTAGAAACAGCTGAATGGCGGCCATTTAATGTTCCGGAAGAGTGAACTACCCCTACTACACCTGAGAAAATATTGTCACCGGAACCTACTTCTTACCTGTTCTTTGTTTCAGGTGGCAATGAGGGAACATTTCGAACATTTTTACCCCGAACTTTGGTATTCTTTAAGTGACATTGAGTAACTGGACAGATAAATAAACTATAAACATACTTATGGAAAACAGCTACTGATTTATTTAGGCGACGTTTCGAAGAGTATTAGCTTGAAAACGTTGAGAGAATACTCTTCGAAACGTCGCCTAAATAAATCAGTAGCTGTTTTCCATAAGTATGTTTATAGTTTATTTAACTCTGGTGTTGACTGAATGTGAAATACAAGAACTATGTTTGCAGGACAGATTCTGATGTTTAGCCTATATTTCAAGTATTGGATGTAAGCCCCTACAAAATGTCCACTTTTTTTAAATTCACCTTCAGAATTTCATGTTTTGGTACGCACCACTGTCAGATAATCTGATTTAATATTTAAACATGGGGTACCAAAGCCATATATAGGTTAGGGTTAATCCGACACCGAATATTCCGTTTAACATATAACTTTTTTGACTTACCTGTTGCAAAACCCAGTAGGACGTCAAGGACACCATCTTGATTGACGTCCACCAATCGGAAAGATGATTCTGTTAGAAGTTTAGGAATTCCCACAACCCAAACATCTTCCACTTCAACCTGATCGCAACCAATCACAGAGTCTTGACTAGAACTTGACGCTACTTTCACTTTGTTCGTATGGGAATTATTTTTATGCGAGTGTTTGTTCATTGTATACAAGATAACGGACATAAGGCCTCCTAATAGACTCACAAATATCACAAAATATAAAATAGGCTTGCACATAGCTTTACATTTACAATCCGGATGTTTACTCTTTACTCGAGTTCTTTGGCGCGGGTGCATCAATGGTTTGGTAGCTGAAGATCCATCCAGGGGATCTTCAACAAATACGTCATCTTCATCCGAGTAACCTTCTTCGTTATCATCACCATGGTACTCGTCGTTAACGTAACCGTTTCTATGGCCACCTTTCTTTTTAAACACAACCCTCGATTCCGTTTTATCCTTTTTTGAAAACATATCGGATTTAGTGATGCCAGTCTGTACCCTGGAAGGAAAGTACAAGTTACAGATTACTACACATACTCAACAGACAATATAGTTTCATTTCAAAACAAAATCAGCTTTCATTTTAGCGAGCACAATCTTGTGTAGAAAACCCCAAACCCCCACACACACAATGTCAATTTCACACACTTTCCTGTGTGATCTCTTCGTATTATTACTGCTTAAACGTTGTCAAAGCTAAATTATAGACGTTATAGTCCGTATTCATCCCAATTGTTGGCAAAACTAACTTATAAAAGTTAAAATTCGTATAGTTACAGTCCGTATATTACCTTTACTGAAACGTTGTCCAAGCTAAATTATAATAGTTAAATTTCATATACTCATTACCTTTGCTCAAACGTTGACAAAGCTAAATTATAATAGTTAAAGTCCATCCAAACGTTAAACCTAGACAGATTGACTCGGATAATATGTTGAGTCGAGATGAAATGATACCGAGATCCAAGGATTAGACAGGTCCACGTAAAAGTCAATTAAACAACCAGCTGTTTCACTGAATTGTTCTGGTGCCAAAATCTCTTATATTAATAATTAAATTTCACACATTATTCTTATTCAATTGTTTGAGGCTTTTTGTAAAAATATGTAGGTGGATACATGATCTGACAGGATTTTATAGTACTTACTATCGTTTTAATAGTTTTACTGTAGTTAAATAGAATATAAGCTTAGTTCTCAAACTGACATTTTATAGCAGATTCGTTTTTACATTTATATTGTTAAATATGGAATATGCTAGACTGGCCTCCAATCTAAGTTTATTTCCGAAACAAAACCTGTGAACTTAGTTTCTTCCATTTCCACACCAGTAAAATTTCTCCCCACTTATATAAATAAATAGTGGTAGTGAATTTCAGTTTGGGGAGTTATTCTGCATTTTTAAAATAAATTAAGGGATCCGTTTGGGAAGTTATTCTGCAGGGATCAGGTGATTGTACATTTGATTCAAGCCAATTAAAGCCAACAGACCATTTTCCTAAGCCACATTCCGTCTGTAACATAAAATCAACCAACGGCATAAATTGAACCAGATCTAGATGTCAAATTCCACCACCACACAACAGGTACAATCCTTACAGTCATGTTATAAAGTGACATCCACCACCACAGTCGTGTTATAAAGTGAGATTTAAAACCAACAGCAATATTTATATATATACAATCTGGATGTATGCTAACTTGTACTATAAAAAACGTTTTCGGTGCCATGTCATTGTCTCTTTTATTTAAAAATTGTCTGCAAAGGGTATATTCTAAACCGTTTCTACTATGGATTTAACTTGTTAATGAAGCATGTATAATTAAATTAGTATTCTTTTAACAGACGAACAAAAATAATTTAAAGGAAATGAAGATCGAAAACCATATCGGTTAATTAGAGCAGTACGATGCGATTTATCGCCGGATTTAAACGTGCAGTGGTAATTATTTGGTTTGGGAATTTAAGACCGCGACAAGAATTGTATAGGCTTTGATCCCATTCAGCCTCAAGAAAAACTGTGCTGCTTGGTCTAGGTCCAGACATAGACACATTGTTCCCAAGAAAATTATTAAAAGAATCCAACCAACTCACTTTCATATTTTATGATGGCTCAGTGAGTACAAACGCTGGCTCGCTAACCAGATCCAAGGTTCGCCCCTGGTGCTGGCTCGCTAACCAGATCCAAGGTTCGCCCCTGATGCTGGCTCGCTAACCAGATCCAAGGTTCGCCCCTGATGCTGGCTCGCTAACCAGATCCAAGGTTCACCCCTGATGCTGACTCGCTAACCAGATCCAAGGTTCGCCCCTGATGCTGACTCGCTAACCAAATCCAGGGTTCGTCCCTGATGCTGGCTCACTAACCAAATCCCAGGTTTACCCCTGATGTTGGCCGGGAGATTTTCCCTCGTGTTTCTCTTGTCAGTGATGCCTCGTCTAGTCGTTCGGATGGTACTAAAAACCGAGGTCCAGCGCATGCATGTAAAATAATAGTAGTTCCTAGTTTCCCCGTTTCAATGGGGCAATACTCAAACCTGGCAAACAAATGTGTCAAGTCGTTCGGATCATTATCATTATCTATTTTGTTTGCTGAATCAATCACACTTTTTTTAAAACTCAGTCTCAAGTCTCCATCGATCATAATACAGACTACGTAATTTGAAACAGAATCAGTTTGTATTCCTGTCAATGTGTTGGAATGTATGGAGGGTATGAAACATAATCAATTTGAATTCCTGTCAATGGGTGGGAATGTATGGAGGTATGAAACATAATTGGACCAAAAATATTACATTGGCAGGATCACAGCATTGCGAGACAGGTAGCAATCAATCTTTCCGCTTTTATGGACATGTTCCCGTCTATTGTAAACCGCGACATCATTCCAGGACAAAAATCAAGGGATCATTTCAAATCGAATGGCAATAATTATTACTTAATTATTACTTACATTATCACATATTTATCCTTTATTGAAATGAACCACATTGACCGATCAGAGTTACACAGTTAATTATTGGTCGACTCAATGGTCGTTTATGTAATTGAGAAATCTGTGGGTCAATAAAACGTTAATGTTGATTTTATTGTGTATTATCATGCCTTCAGCTAAGATGACTACAGTATAGAAATCATGAAAATTGAAGATTGGGATCAATAAACCCCGACATACGTCACGTACAGCTCATATATCAAAGTTTACGCTTTGCTTGATTAATGCTTGCAACTACTGATACCGTCAGATTAATAAATTGCAACGCATGGTATATAGAGACATGATTGATCAATATTTTATAATTATACATTCAATAACATTGATATATATTAAACAATACTTTATTATGTATTCTATAGATAAAGATAGGTAAATGAATTTATTTCACACTTAATTATGTTTTGAATAACATAGATACAGGTCGTAATATTATTGATAAATAATTATGTATTGATTAGAAGAAAGAGAGAGAGAGAGAGAGAGACATTCGACAGAAACTAGGTTATTTCGGGACTAACATATGGTTCAACCTTATTTCAATTATTTCAATAATTCGTTTGAGCGTAGGGGTCTTTAGTACTTGGAGGAAACCGGAGGACCCGGAGAAAATCCGTGATGATAAAACAGCGATCTTACGCCTTGGGGTCGAAATCCCACCTCCTGATTTAATGGCAGATTTTATGATCTAAAGCGCACGTTTCACCCCCCCCCCCCCCACCATTGAATAAAGTATGAAACAAAACGATGTTATTGTTACCAGAGACTCTTGGTGATTGGTTGGTGCCGATTTTTCAAAGCTTTATAAAACCAAATAAAGTGTAGTTACCTGCTCTTAATATAGCAAGCTACCCTCAGACTAACCAATTTATAATAGAACTCACAATATAAAAAATCGTCGTTTATGTATTATTATTATTAACAACAACACAGTCCTGGGGAACAGTTTTGTCAATCATTTCGTGGATAGATAGGTTTATAGTTTATATAAGGAGAGAGCTGGTTGAAAAAGATCTTAATGAGTCAAGCTTGTTTCGGTTCTCGACTTAAGGATTGCCTTAAAATCTGCATCAATAAATTACCGAAGAGAGATTTATGGTTTTATTATCGATGATGGAAGGTAGAAATAGTTTGATATTCAATTTATGCAGTACCTTTGTTATGATAGACGAAAACACCAATACATACCAGCTACAATAATGCCTGTATCATATCCTCCTTGGTAACCAAATCTGATTATATCCGTTTATATTATTCTCGAGGTGTTCCGAATCGTTTAACCATCTGTCACCAGCACTATAGGGTAAAACACCAATTCTTCTATAGTTCGCTATGTGACGTCATCGATATTTCGATCCAAACCCTTACCATTTCATTTGTTTAGGGCGATACTACAGCCGATATCACAGACGAACAAAACTAATGTGGAATAAACTGTCACAAATAAATTCTGATCCAATAATATCATCAAATCTATTCAAGTGATGTAGAATATCAAAAATAAACTGTAAATAAACGACGCTCTGCTGGCACCAAAGGAACATAATTAATTCATTCTAGGCAGCCATATTGTCTATCGATTTTTTTTTCATTAGCATTCGCCGTCTTTCTAGCAGACGACAGAGTCAACCATTCTGTTCGATCGTTAATTCTATTTTTTACATGATTTAATATGAGGTTTTGTTTATTCAGAGCTGTGTTTAATGTTAGTGTGAAATATAAGGTACAGATTGTGAATATACCAGGATACATGGATAAATATAAAGATTCCAGACCATTACACAATTAAAAGTGTTTTTATTTATATAAACATTCTAGTTAAAATATTATTCAAAATGGAAATGAAATGAAATGGGGTTTAACGTCCTACTGTTCTTCTCATACTGGGCTAATGAAGACGGGCATGCGCCATACAGTGTGCTATGAGGAAAATTTTGCCCGAGCTGCGGCACTATGACCTACTCTTATATCAAATTCCAACTGTAAAGGGATCTTTTACGTGCACGCCAATGTGTACACGGGACCTTGGTTTTCCGTCCCATCCGAACGACTAGACAGCTGTCCTTGTCAGGCCCTCCGTCCTGCACCAATGACAAGGGGAAACCACGCTGGAAAATCCCGATGAACTTAAAAAAAAATAAAATATTATTCAAAATGATCATTTCTACTTTAAAGGAGCTAAATCGCTAATATTTTAGCCCTAGAAATTGACACAAATGGGTCGGAACGCATACGAATTTACATTCAATCGTTTCGGTTTTTACTCTAAATTGTGCTATGAGGAAAATTTTGCCCGAGCTGCGGCACTATGACCTACTCTTATATAAAATTCCAACTGTAAAGGGTTCTTTTACGTGCACGCCAATGTGTACACGGGACCTTGGTTTTCCGTCCCATCCGAACGACTAGACAGCTGTCCTTGTCAGGCCCTCCGTCCTGCACCAATGACAAGGGGAAACCACGCTGGAAAATCCCGATGAACTTAAAAAAAATAAAATATTATTCAAAATGATCATTTCTACTTTAAAGGAGCTAAATCGCTAATATTTTAGCCCTAGAAATTGACACAAATGGGTCGGAACGCATACGGATTTACATTCAATCGTTTCGGTTTTTACTCTAAATTCAAATAGGTTATGTTCGGCGAAATACGCCAGAAGTCTCAATCGAATGGCACTCTCTAGCGTCTTGTTTATTCCAGTCTACACTGGTAGTATTTATTGGTCTAGCCTCGTTCTTCGAGTCCCTTGTTACGCATTATGGTACACGATTCGATATCAGAAGCCCATCTTTTCCCGGTAAGATCACAACATCAATGTTGATTTAAATTTAAATAATTCATGTTTTCAATGTCAATGACTTTGGATGATAATGAGTAAGAGACTTAGCTACTTTCAGTAATCGTTTATCAAATTTACAATGGCTTCAATTGACACATAAGATCAAGCCATTGATTTCAATTTGAATAAAAAAATCTCAGCAAAAACTGTACAAAGTGGCGGATGCTTGATAATTGGTTAGAGGGGTCCGGGCCTACCTTTCATTATATCAATAATTTCTCTATCAGTAATAAAATGATTACATTTGCCCCTTCATTGACAATAGGTTCAGCACATAAAGCCAATATATATAAATAAAATGAAAGTGTACACGTGTATGTATGTATCTATGTTCGCCCATCATGCTTCGTCACCGCGCTCCAGTCCTATATATACGGTATGAAATTAACCAGTGTGACCCGGTAAATGTATTAGAAAATGAAATGGGGTTTAACGTCCTACTCTTCTGCACCTAACCTGGGCTAATTGAAGACGGGCATACGCCATACAGTGTGCTATGAGGGAAATTTTGCCCGGGCAGCGGCCCTATAGCCTACTCTTATATCGAATTCCAACTGCCAAGGGATCTTTTACGTGCACGCCAATGTGTACACGGGACCTCGTTTTTTCGTCCCATCCGAACGACTAGGCAGCTGTCCTTGTCAGGCCCTCCGTTCTGCATCACTGACAAATGGAAACCACGCCGGAAAATCGAGATGAACTTTCTCGGCCAATGCAGGGATAGAACACCCGACCTCCAGGCTAGCGAGCCAGCGCCTTACCCACTTAGCCACGAATGTATTAGGCCATCGAATTTGGGTCCGGGGAAATTGGGTGTTGGCGAATCACGCTCCGTCGCATGTGGTATCAAATTAACCAGCATAACCCCGTCAATTGTTTAGGCCTCGGGCGAAATGGACTCGGGCGAAGACGGGTATCCTGCTAGTATTATAATAAAATTGATCTAGATAAAGGGAAACAACTCTTGTCGAAATGAAATGAAATGAAATGAAATGGGCGTGTTGTATTGATGAGTGATGGATTAACAATGATTATCCAGTTATTAGACACATATCGTTGTCACGTGAATTTAACTCCAATTGGTTGGAGGTCGGCTTGAAGCCGAAAAGGTAAAACCATTATTTTTGTCAGTGCTATAGAATGAACTAACGAAATACCGCAAGCATAATAAATAAAAACTGTGTATTAAATGTTATTGAATACCCATTTAATAAAAACTCGTAGGAGATTCTTTATTTGTTGAATACACATTTACAAAAGTAAACATTTGGTAGGGTACCGGAAAGTAAATCACTTTCACCGGCCACATACAACATGATCATCATCGCTCCATGGCCGGTCCAATACCCCCCCCCCCCCCCCACACACACACACACACCCCACCCCATATAATGTTCAGCAGAAAAAGCTTTTTTTAGACGAATTGGACAAAATTATTTTTGGCCCATTCCGCCCCTGGAACCATGCTCCTAGCTTGGCACCCTTGGGTTGCAACTCCCAAGTAACTTACATGGGCCTCTCCGATCTGAACTCTTAGACCCCCTCGCCTTGAAGAAATAATCTATTTGGATTCCTGAACTTTTAGACCCCCTCGCCTTGAAGAAATAATCTCTTTTGGATTCCTGCTTATAATCCCCCTCCTAGACAATGGATGATCGAAGAGATTATGCAGTTGGTTCAGGCCATGGGTAGTAACTAATGACTTCCACGTGGCCGTTGGCCGTGTCAGGACAGTGCCAATGTCGCCCATCTGTGGGTCATTATATGATAAGGATGTTTTGATCAATTTCATGTATGGAAGGTGTTGATTAACATTTTTCTAAATATTCTCCAATTATATAACACTATCCGTTCACAATTCTTGTAAACGCCCAAATTTGGTACGATGTTTGGTTCATCCCAAGGAGGAAACATGGAAATTACAGGACTAATTATTTCCCTCTATTATAAATAGACAATTTTCCAATTAAATTTTTCTCTCCCCTCTTCTTGCATAATTTGGTTGACTTTTTGGCCTAGAATTGGAGAAAAGGGATCAGATTTGCAATTTCATAGCAGTTTGGGATAATACTGATGATATGACAGTGGAGGGATAGGGGGTGTAAGGTGTCTTTCTGCTGAGCAATCATTGTATTGGAAGTGAGATTTTGACCTCAGTCAACATCAAATCCCCGTAGCAAAAAATCTAAACGGTCAAACCCCTACAAAATTATGATGAACAGATTGCCAAATGTGATCCCCATTGTGCATTTAAAGATTGGAACCAACGGAATGTTGAGTAAAAAGCTACAACCTGTGATGTTACAGCCATTTAACATTGAAGTCAATGGACAAATGGACACAGTTCACCAAATATTTCTACGAATGTAGGGCGAAAGTTATTTTTAGTCTTTCTCTCCCTTTCCCTTTTCCCACATTTTGCATGGCGATTTTTGTTGACTTTTTGGTGTAGAATCGAAGAAAAGGGTTTGAAAATACATTTTCTACCAGGTTTTGGTGAATATTCATGATTTTGAGGCGGAAGGATACAAGAGTTGAGAGGTTGGTTAGGTTGAAATGTAGGGTCCAAAATTGCATGTTTTCTTATCTCTACTTCCAGCTTGTGTATCTCAAGTTTTCCATGGTGAACCTCATACGTGCTTTTTGGCAAGAGGTTGCCACATGTTGCTCCATCTGTGGTAGAAAGCGTTCTACCCAACGAAAATTTGGGAAAAAGTTAGAGCCGGTCTAAGACACGAGAATTAACATTAAAGTCAATGGGCAAATGTTTAGTGATCTGTGGCCAAATACTTGCTAGTCCGAGACCTTGTGCAGAGTTACCCCCCTTGTAGCCTAAACCGTTTAAGAGTATGTAAGTTTATTTTCTCACTTATGTTTCAAATGTCTAAGTAGGAACTATACAGAGCCTCGCATTGATATTTCCCAGTTATATAGGAAACCCTACTGATTGTTATGCGTAGTTATTGCCGTTGTAAACCACCCTACAGAAGCTACTGTTTGGCCGTGTACAGTAGTTGGCTAGCAACGCTAGTTTTGTATTAATGGAATAAACACTGTCGTTTAAAAAGGAAAACAATCCCATTCATAATATCTTTAATTACGTAAAATACCAGAATCAACACAAAAATCATTTAGTTAATTAATAAACATTAAAAATATAAGAAAATGCAAGATTTGTTTTCAGTTACGCACAGCTCAAAACATAACTCATTTTTCTAGAACTAGAAACTTTTACAGTAATAGTTCCAAAGTGGGAACTATTGCGTGCCAAGCATAGAGCTAAATATAGAAACTAGAGTCCACACTGATCACGTGACAGCGTGCCGACATGGGGCCTTGTCCGCCATGTTAGATCCGGGGAGTTGGCTCTGACGACCATTAGATTTTTTAAATCGTGTTTTATAATCAATATGCCAGAGAGTTGCTGCTGTTTTGGCTGCTCAAACAACCGAAAAAATAGGTAGTGGAATGGCGTTTTATAGGTTAGATTGATTTATCAACTGTACCTATCAAAAATCGGTCCATTCTTCTAGCACTGGGCTCAGTTGCCAATGTAAACGTCAATAACAATCGAATTAATGTCATTAATTTGATTTGAAGACCTTATCTAAAAGTCATTTTAAAATTATT